TGAGTATGATGAATTAAAAAAAAGCTATTTATAATGATTTAGCCTAAAGGATTAAGGTATTTTAGTCCTTTGAGTACAATGAGTTAGATTAGTGAATTGATAGTGATTTATTAATTCATTGAGTACGATGTCAACAACCTGAGTACAGTGAATTAGACTAGTAAGATATTTTAATTCCTTGAGTACAATATATTAGACTAGTATTAGAAAAACCTAATCCCTTGAGTACGATACCAACACCCTGAGTACAAGGAATCAGCCCAGTGAGTAAGACATCTTAACCCCTTGAGTTCAATACCTTTACCCATTGATTACGATGATTTAAGGAGTTTTGTGGTGGTGGAAGAGTGTGGTGGTGGTAGAGGATTGTTGTGGTGGTGTTGTGATGGAGGTAGTGTTGTGGTGGTGGTGTTGTTGTGGTGGTGGTAGTGTTGTGGTGGTGGTGGTGTTGTGGTGGTGGTGGTGTTGTGATGGAGGTAGTGTTGTGGTGGTGATAGTGTTGTGGTGGTAGAGTAGTGTTGTGGTGGTGGCAGTGTCAGTGGTGGTGGTGGTGTTGTGATGATGGAGGTAGTGTTGTGGTGGTGGTGTTGTTGTGGTGGTGGTAGTGTTGTGGTGGTGGTGTTGTTGTGGTGGTGGTGGTGTTGTGAAGGTGGTAGTGTTGTGGTGGTAGAGTAGTGTTGTGGTGGTAGAGTAGTGTTGTGGTGGTAGAGTAGTGTTGTGGTGGTAGAGTAGTGTTGTGGTGGTGGTAGTGTTGTGGTGGTAGTGTTGTGTTGGTATTGTTGTGGTGGTGGTGTTGTGGTAGAGGAGTGTTGTGGTGAGGTCGGCTGCCCACCAGAGCAACAGCCGTGCACGAGGTGGCAAGCGAGGATCAATGATGCCTAAAGCGTATATGCCCATAAAATGCCTAGTGGAGGAGTCCGGGAACGCCCTCCTCCCTGCAGTAAAGAGTCTACGTATGTCTCTATGTCTGTGTCTACGTATGTGTCTATGTCTGTGTCTGTCTATGTCTACGTATGTGTCTATGTCTGTGTCTACGTATGTGTCTATGTCTACGTGTGTGTGTGTGTGTGTGTGTGTGTGTATGTGTGTGTGTGTGTGTGTCTATCTCTGAGTGTGTCTGTCTCTGTTCGTGTGTATATATGTATGTAACTGTTTGTGTCTACGTGTGTGTATGTGTGTGTGTGTGTGTGTGTGTGTGTGTGTGTGTGTGTGTGTGTGTGTGTGTGTGTGTGTGTGTGTGTGTGTTGATCAAGTAGGAAGCTTAACTGATCATTTTATCCTACTAGACGAGGAAGTAAGCGAGTGGGGGGGTGAGATGGGGGTTGTTGGGACATAAATCTAGGTGATGATGACAGGAAACAAACGCAGATACAGACAAGGACAGAAATAGACACGGATATAGATACACATAACAAGGACACAAGCTCAATGGAAATACGTACACACAAAAATTAACACAAAAATACAGACACAGATACAGACATGGGGGTACGGGGGGGGGTGGGAGGGGTCAGGCCATATTCCCACCACTAGTAACTTTACGCTGCTGTCCTAATCATGGTCAATTACGTACCGTTAATAAGACCCGCGTCATTGAGGGTTTAATATTCATAATTACGTGATGTGATACTGGCTGACGGTGAAGTGAATTAACGGTGAAGTAAATTAACCTCTTCATCACTCGATATTTTAAGTTTATGAAGTAGACAGTGTAGTGATGATGTGGTACGAGTGTGTTAATGTTGTTGTTAGTTGTTCTTTTGATGCCCGTATGTTGATCTTCTCCTTTGGTTTGATTTAATAAGTACGTTTTAAGTTAATATTTCAGTGTATTGTTTCTTTAAGGCGTTTATTTGCAATCAAAGCATAACCAAAGTATGTCTAAATTAGGTTAAGTTAGATTAAATAGGTGAGTAATGTTTTTCCTTTAGTTTGTATTATTATTATCTATATGGTCGTCCCTATGTACATTACTATTTTAATCTAAAAAAAATATATATATCGTTTTTTTAGCTGCAATTCTTGTTTATCGTGACATTAATTCATTAACGGGTGAGGACATATTGGACAAAATTTCAAAACAATGGGTCTGCACTTATATTTATTGCTAAGCCGATGACGATAACAGACACACACCACCTATTGTCTTCAATCTTGTTAATGAAGAAAGTTTCCCTCGTTTACCAACAAGATAACATGTTGGTTCACACAGCACCTCAAGTTCCTAGAACACTTAATCACTTCCCACAACTGTATACTTACACTTAAATTTAATGGCCGTAGTTATGCCTGATGGTTCTATCCCGATGGCCATATCATGCCCTAAACATAAGTTCCTGAAACATTTGACCACTTCCAATAATTTACACTTAATGAGGGTACTGTAGTGGACGTCTCCCCTACAACTGCCTACAACTGCGTAGCCACAGCCACCACCTGCTACCACCTTCCCTAGCAACCAACCAGATGTTACCGTATCTTAGCAACGGAACTAGTCACCGGCGACTTTCTGGGTTTTCCCAACATGATTCATAGAGGACTGGCGGCTGCTGCTGGGTATATAAGCTCTGTCTCTCCATTGAGATTGATTCTGACCATTCTTCTTGAACAAGCAACACCTCCTCCTCCGCCGCTGCCTGGCAGCCCTCGCTTCTCCTTGCCTGCCTGGCGGTCCTCGCTCCTGCCAGCGAGCATGGCGACCCACCAGCTGTCCTTCTCTGAGCTTCCTCACCAACCAGCTTTCTCATTCTGGTCTCTCTTCTTGAACAAGCAACACCTCCTCCAGCAAGCTCCACGCTGTCAACATTCATTCAACCAGGAGGCCAGCAACAGGCAACATCTTCTCTAACGAAGCTCCTGCACATCTACCTCCTTCAACACGCTACTCACCGAACGTCTCCACTGAGCAGCCCCTCACCACACGACACCTCCAGCACCAGACTGTCTATCATATAACTTATATTATACAAGAAAACCACATTAGAGTTTCCTTCCATCCTGAGTGCTAGACAACATTAATATCTCGATACCCCTACAATGGTGACCCCGGAGATTAGCACTCACACAGGATGGAGGAGACACTGATCACGCTCTCAGTCTTCAAGCAGCATAGAAGAATGGCGTATCCACACAGAAGCAGCTCTGCTACTCTAAGCAGACACCAGCTCCTCTTCCTGCCCCAAGCACCACATCCTACGACCCCAGCACACCCGTCCTGCCTCAGACAATGACCCAGGCCCACACACACCCCAGCAGGCGCATCTGACGACCCTGTACCTGTCGTGAGGGAAGCACAACATTCATCGCCTCCACACACACTTTTTCTCCCTTCTCCCACAGATAGTGTGTATCTAGACAGTTGTATTTCAGCGATCGGCTCATCACGCCATCGCCGTTGTCTCACATGAGGCATGCACCGCCCGGTCTGCCTCACATGTGCTAAGCAACTCTACAGACAACAAGTCTCCTACACCGCCTGGAGGGAAGGGGGAGTATTGTAGTGGACGTCTCCCCTACAACTGCCTACAACTGCGTAGCCACAGCCACCACCTGCTACCACCTTCCCTAGCAACCAACCAGATGTTACCGTATCTTAGCAACGGAACTAGTCACCGGCGACTTTCTGGGTTTTCCCAACATGATTCATAGAGGACTGGCGGCTGCTGCTGGGTATATAAGCTCTGTCTCTCCATTGAGATTGATTCTGACCATTCTTCTTGAACAAGCAACACCTCCTCCTCCGCCGCTGCCTGGCAGCCCTCGCTTCTCCTCGCCTGCCTGGCGGTCCTCGCTCCCGCCAGCGAGCATGGCGACCCACCAGCTGTCCTTCTCTGAGCTTCCTCACCAACCAGCTTTCTCATTCTGGTCTCTCTTCTTGAACAAGCAACACCTCCTCCAGCAAGCTCCACGCTGTCAACATTCATTCAACCAGGAGGCCAGCAACAGGCAACATCTTCTCTAACGAAGCTCCTGTACATCTACCTCCTTCAACACGCTACTCACCGAACGTCTCCACTGAGCAGCCCCTCACCACACGGCATCTCCAGCACCAGACTGTCTATCATATAACTTATATTATACAAAAAAACCACATTAGAGTTTCCTTCCATCCTGAGTGCTAGACAACATTAATATCTCGATACCCCTACAATACGTAAGCAGGATGTCTTACTGTGACGTTTGTGCGTCATAATTACGTCAGGTCTCAAATTCGTTATCGAACCCTGATATAAATAATAAAACCGTATTTACAACCTATTACACCTGATTTTTATTTGACTTCTATTAATATCTGTTATGTCCATTTTATGAGAATAAAAACGACTTACACTTTTGTTTGGGAGATATTAGTGATTCCTCTATGCATTACAACACCCACATCTTTCAAGTCTAGCTAAATTTGTCTAACCTAACCTAACTTAACCTAACCAGAGCTTAGCCCGCCCTACCCTAAACTATTCAAGCCTGACCTAACATAACCTGACCTACCCTACCTTAGCATGACGGTCCTAACCTAAACCCCAAGGTAACGTTAGTATGTTGAATCACGGGGATGGACGAGTGTGAGTGTGTGTGTGTGTGTGTGTGTGTGTGTGTCTTTGCCGTTTTTTCTTGTACACCGAATACCGACATTGTCTATCTATACATAAACCTGTATGCTAATCTGTATGCCTGCATAGTCTTTTACATGCCAAACCGATCCTGTTTGATGATTTTAGTGAATAAAAATTATTATTATTATTATTATTATTATTATTATTATTATTATTATTATTTTCATCATCATAGCGATTAAACACCATTGGCGATGATACAATAAGAATTACAATTTCCGATCTTATTGATCGCAATAATAATCTATTAGATACTAAGATCGCAGAAACAGATTATACTATTTAATCTTATTATAATATTATTCCCAAGAACTTTATTTCTTTACAAACCCCTACGAACAATGTAGATATAATTATATTTACACGACAACTGCTCTCTGGCTCACTGACAGCTGGGCAGGTGTTTGTAAACATCACCACTCGGCGTCCCGTTCAAACAAAGCCTGTGAAATACATAACCTTGAAGTGGCCTTTCCATATCTACTAAAATATATTTATTTTTACAGTAAGTTACATTTCAGAAGTGCTACACATGGAATTGATGTTTTTCTACCCATATGTTATACCTGTAGGAAGTGAATACCGTCTTTCAGTCCTACTAAACCACTGTCCACCTGCACTTACATGTTTTTAAAAGAGGGTCACCACTAAACTAGCTTGAAGGCACTAGTAGTTATCAGATCGAGTGTCAGTACTGCAGGAAAAACGAACTTAAATTTACGTAAAAAATATCAAGAATGCTGTTGACAAAAATCAATTCTGAATGTCTGTTAGCAGGATTAAACCACCAAGTATTGTAAATCCTCATATATCTGTATGTTGAGTAATACTTAACAGTAGTGGTCATTTTTTGTTAGTCACATATCACCTTTTTCACATGAAATTTTTATTTTTTCGCTAGTTTTCTTGCTGTTTTATATGAATCTGACATTTATCTTTGGGGCAAATCACTTTTTTCTTCTTTTTTATTCATACCCCAACAATGTAGGGGGCCACGTTCGGAATGCGGGGTTTTGGGTAGGGGGGGGGGGTTGCTGAAAACGAGTTATTTTCATCAAAAATAAATGTCAGAGTCATCTTAACCTAACCCGGCCTAACCTAACCTAGCCAAAACCTAAACTTTTCGAATTACCTTATAATCCGTAACCAGAAATCCACATGGCCAGCTTTTCGTTCCTTTCTTAGGAGCACGAATTCTTTGTGTACACTGCCACTGATGCCTATCCTCTCAATAATGATACTGTGAATTGCACTAGGGGGCAACGCACATTTGTAGGGAAAACTCCGTGAGTTCGGAAAAATGCCAGTGCTTTGGAATTTTCCTCGAAAAAGTGCTTGATAAAGTTCCAATGAGCTTTTCTGCAACCAACACATCCGTCGCTTCTATTTTGAAAACAATGAACCAATTATGGTTGACCTTTCTTAACTGCTTGTGGGTTGACCAATCAGAGACAGTTTTCCACTTTTCTGACATTTTCTAGTTATTCATGTCACAAAAGCTGTAATCATTTGTTTATGGTTGTGAAAGTGCTCCATGGTATAAATACAGTTTTCATTAATTTTTTTACAACCATTTCATAATATTCTACTGGACTGTACTGTAATAAAATTGACACCGAACTAAAATTAATCTGTATGGTGGTGACACATGTTCTTTATAACTCTAAGAGTCAGATCTCTCTCTTTAATAGTGTGAAGCTTCTACTGTACAGTATACCAAGAATTTGATGATTTCTTAGCTTGATTCTAATATTTCTAATTACAGCATATGTAATACAGTACAGCTGCTCCTCGACTTACGACGGGGTTAGGGACCCAAATCCAGATCATAAGTCGAAAATGCATAAATAATACATAGAAAATCTAAAATGGGTGTCTCTCTTTCTTCTCAGCACCACAAAACTCTCACTTTTAAGCTTGCCAGCCATTTTAAAGTGAATTACAAACGAAAATTTTGTCAGTACACAGCGCAATCACTAACGTCGGGACTCGAAAATACGTAATTTGACAAAATTTTGGTACGACTGAGGCGGTCGTATGTCCAGGTGGTCGTAAGTCGAGTAGGTCGTAAGTCGAGGAGTAGCTGTATACTGTACATAATTATAATTTCTCTTCTTACAGAATATCATCAGGAAAATGTCAATTAGTGCACCAAGTGCTTTTCTTTTGAATGTCACGGGTCAGATTGACGCAGGGCGGTTCTTTGGAGGCGATAATCTACACTTAAGCTATTTGTTTACATATGGTCAAGACTGGGAATATGTATGGGTAAATATTAACATAATTGTATAATCTTATACCTGTACATAATTATAAGATACTGTGGTGACTTTCACATGCTTTACTTTGATACATACATTTGTTCATAGTTCAGCTTCACAAAGTGGTTTTCTAAGTGCATATATATATCGCTAGAGAGTTTATATCAGCTAAGTTTAACAGTTTAAAATAAGTACCATAAGATGGGGTGATTTCGGAGATAGAGAGAATTCGGACACAATTCGGAAAAAAGTTGAAGAGGTGACAGCTCTAGATAGTTACAGCAAGCAAAGTTTTCTTGGTATCAGAATATTGCCCTAAGTGCAGTATGTAGTTTTCATATGTGAGTAGCTATAATTTTCTAGTTTAAAGTGTAAGGAATAACTAGAAGTCAGTAATAATAATAAAAAAAAAATCAAATGTTGCTGAACTTTTTCTGGCAGGAGCATATCAGAGTACAGTACATAAGAGTAATGCAGGTATAGCTAACTAATGAAAAGTATGAGAAACAATCTGGGGTGCTTGATATATTCTATATACTACCTGAAAATGTGACTTGAATGGAGGCACCATACAGTATGTAAAAATTTTCTTTGACTTCGGGTGACTTCAGACAGCTCAAAAATTACTTGGGAGGCACAATCCTAATATTATTCATGCATATTTGCAAGAGTGCATGATATAAAACATATGCAGTAATGTCATAATGCATGGTACTGATACTGAAATACAGTAATGATAAAAAAAAGTGTGTACTGTACAATACTGTACTACTGTAATTTACAGCTCATGGGTTTAAACGAGAACATGCATACTGGGTCCCGGTATCCCGTTAAATTTGTTTAGCTGTCTCTCTTAATGTAGCTTGTCATTTTTACATACGCGGTAATACAATTTTCTTAAAAAGTTTTCCCTTCTCTTGACTCTTCATTCCCTTTTGGCCTATACAGTAACAGTACAAGTATATGTAATTTTGTTGCTACAGATGTTTGCCCAATTTGTTCTGAGTTTATTGATGTCCAAAGTCACTCCCAGACAGTCTGGCCAGGCTCTTAACAGGTATAATTAACACTGTACCTCAAACCCCTATAAATCTTCTCTTCATAGAAAATATATTCTGTTTCCTAAAAAAAAATTTGACATGTATGGATAACGCATTAGTTCACACACCAATAAGGTATTTAACATACTGTATACTTTTAGCCCAAAAAACCTCAAACACTGTCTGAAGTCACCCCATCTTACGGTAACTTTATTTTCTCTTGATGTTTATATTTTATGTAAGATACTGTGACTGATAACAACCTCCCTCCCTCACCTTAAAGGGGCTAGAAGAATGTATTTCTCAAATTGCCCGTCGTAGTGATGATAGTCGGCAGGTGTTTGTGTGGAACTTCCCTATAGACATCACTTTAAAGTCAACTAATCCTTTTGGATGTAAGTATGAAAAGGTTTTGTATCTTCTTTTAGATATTTTTAAAGCATATTTATTAACCCCTTGTGTATGGGAGTCTCTCTGTGCTGAATAAAATCTTGTGGTGTTAGCCAAGTAAAATATTTAAAGTAAAGTACCCATAGTGGAGCGGTTAACATATTTCGCTGCCTTTATAATTGTTACTAAAAAGTTATGTCAGCTTATAGAGTGTAATTGTACAACTGAACTATGTGGTTTGCTGATTCTATACCTGACAGCTGCCAACTCAGTTTTTTTTTTTCACATCAAGTTTGTATTATACTTGTAGTGTTTGCAAATTTATCCCTTCACCACGATGTCTTCTTACCTTTTTTACTTTGGCTACCACCAGACGATTTTATTCAGCTTGGGAAGTTCCCTCTAGTAGTCAAGGGGTTAAGTAAAACTTTGCTGCTTCTACAAGATATAGATTCAAGCATATCCATAATCCATTAGCTCATAAATGCCCCCTTTTGCAAAGGAACACCTAACTTAGAACATGAATCCATCCCCCTCTCATCCTATTGTAACTTTAATATTTTCATCTGGCTAGTGCTAAATAATTACACTCAGCTAAGGAAACCCCATTGGTATTGTCAAAGTGTTATTCTGTATTGTAATCAATCCCAACTGATATACTGTACATTTTCCCTCCTCACCCCCAGTACTCCGTCTCCCCACCACAGAAAGACACCTATCCCGATACACCCTCCTCTCTCCCTCCTGCTCATTAGCAAATGCTTCGAATACACACTTCAGAGTTCAAGGTTCACACCTCAGGAAGAGATAGCATTGGCAACACTAATTGGTAAATGCAGGAGTGGAGCCAACTGTACTTAAAATATGTCCTATTGTATTTTATGATATGCTATGTTTATTATAGGAATAAATATGGCAGCTCATCCTCGTTGCACACAGTACTGCATTCAAACGTACGATTCTAGCTGATTTTGGAAGAATTTGTATTTTTATTATTATTATTATTTCACTTTGGTGCCGGTTAATTGAATCTGCCGGTTAAGGTTCTACTGTACACAGCTGGGTGGACGGAATGAAGATTTTCCTAGCTGCCTTCCAACTATGTGTTCTGCTTTGGTGTATCCCTTCCACTACAAACCCCAAGATATCCATCTGGTTTACTTATGAAGCAACCTGTTGAAATGTGGGGCAATTTTACACAGGTCACCACAGTGTATAGCTGGAAGAGGTCTTTGGGATACTAATTAATTCTTATAGGATTATTTTTTCTTCTTTTACCAGGGCCTCAAATTATCATCAGTATATATGGAACTGATGTCTTTGGAAATGTGGTGATAAGAGGCTACACTGCCTGTCATGTGCCCATCACTCCTGGGACACATACCCGCAGGTACTATGCTTACCCAATACTGTTACTCCTGGAATACATAGCTACCAGTACATACAGTACACTTATGGATTGTCCATTAATTTTATTTTATGACTGTACAGTATTCTACGTATAAAATAATCTCATCGGTAAATTTTACTTTTAGAATAATTTTGCATTGTACAGTCTTTCATTTCATTATTAATGGGCTTAGGCCATCAGGCCCTGGTCAACGTTATGCTTGTGTGTGGGTTTAAATATAATCTAACGTCTTGATAGGACTTAATTACAAGAGCCACTTAGCTTTAAGTGCTGCCAGATAAAAGGATTTCAGGAGCAGTCATTATTTTAATGAATACAGTGCAGTATACAGTATTCAAAATCATTCACAGCTGGAATTAAGGAATTGACAGATTGTGCTTTCTTACAGGCTCACCACTTTTGTGCCAGAATCTGCATCCATGGTGCAGAAATTGATATCTTGGCTCATTGGACGAAGACCAGAGTTTGTAGATCCAAAACTTATCACTCAGGGCAAAGGACGAGAAGGTAATATTTTCTGCTGGAAATGGGTTTTGCTGTCATTTACAAAGTTTACCAAAAACAAAATAATGTACTGTATTAAGAGTCATTCTGGCAAAATGGAAATGCTAAGTAGATTCAGCAAAAAAAATTTTTTTTTCCAGGAACTGTCTTATTTTTCTTAATTTAATTTTGCTAGAGAATTAGATCCAGTGGAAATTAAAACCTCATTCAGTATTGAGGCTCCATTGTACTGTACAAGTACAGTAAAGTGAACTTTGACAAATTCAGTAATTTTATACCCATACTACATTTGTTACATAATCATTATGCTTCCTTACAACCCTCCAGTAAAGTTGGTAACATAAAGTCCTAAAGTTTCAATTGGACTGACTGCAAATTTGGAAGATCATGCATCCATCATATACAGGTGTTATGGTTTGTTACATACAGTCATAGCTGAAGATGAAAGTTCAGAACTTAATATCAGAAGATATTATTTTCACCAACACTTCACAGTGACATGTGTCACCACAAGACAAAGTGCTGATTACCAAATTCAAGTTTTTATATCAAATGTCAAGATCACATAAGGTGAAAGGACAAAGTTTTTCTTGATTGTGATGCCATAAAATGTGATTTCCTACTGCCCTTTTTTTTGTCTACATGGAGTAGAACTATGCTGTATTGAATTTTTAAGTTCACATTTTAATTCTGTTAACTGATTCTGTATGTTAAGTAGCTAGCTACTTTACACTTATATTAAGAAAAGCTTATTGTTTTATTATTTCCTATTGTTACTTGACACACAAATGCCATTTAAGAGATTATGTTAACTCATTTTACAGTGACACGCGTGAGATCCCAGGGAGAAGTGACAGTCACATTTAATGTGATGATGAAGGACTTCATGAAATTCGGATATGATTGTGGGGGATCTGGCAAGACTCCTTATCTGGCTGCTACATCCCAACCACAAAAAAATATCACTATGCCAAGAGCAGGACAAAGTGATGCATGATTTTTACTAAATCTTAAAAATTCTTCTTTTACGTGTAATTGTGTGCCTTGCTCCATTTTTATGTATACCTGTAATTACAAAATACCGGTACATATTCTTCATTAGTGAATTATTCTTGGAGGTTAAAGTACAAGTTTTACACTGTAGCTATGGCACAAGATTTAAACAAAGTGTGTTGCATTTTTTTATATTTATAGCTTATAAATGAATACACATTTACTAGTGTTACTGTATACAGTATGTATTCATAATTTTTTTTTACCAGTGGGATGTGCAGTGTAAAGAAATTAGGTGAAACAGTGAGGAAGAAGAGTAATGGACCTGTGGCTTTGGTCACAAAATTTTATACAAAAAAGGGGCGGTGTTTTGATATTGTACATAGCATAGGAATAAAAAACAAGATGATTAGACCCTGCTCGACCTGCTTGCATATGTCCCTAATTCAAATAACCAATACGTACTGCACTGTATAAGCAAAAATGATCCGACAATAGAATTTTATCTTTTTTTTTTTACCTTTATATCCAAAAGAGTAATGTTTGGCAATCATGATGCAGGTTGATTCAAACTAAAGCCACTACCCTGTATACAAAGTCACTTAGCAAACTGGAGATGTACTACTGTCTTTATAAATACAGTACAGTATTAAATACAAATACTGTACCATTAGACATCATCAGGTATACAAAACACTGCTGTTAAATTTATGAAATATTCAGACTTCAATCTGATCCCTTTAGAAAGATCAATATCCATTTTCCAAAACTATCCATAACTCGCACACTACTCGGCGTCAAGGAAATTGGACTGGGGATCTTGTACTGTATAGCAAGTGCTAGTATTAGAGGGGACAGACATTATTTTATCTGAAGAACTTTACGGTTTGCGTAAAGTGTTGTGTTAAAAGGTCTTCCTTAACAAATGTGTTCGGAGGGATGAGAGGAGGTCTGTCACAAACGCTGTGTTGGAAGAGCTTCACCATTATGTTGAATGATTGGAAGCAGCAGCATGTTAGTTAATTATATGATATGTTGCCTACAGCAGGTCTTCTAGTCACATCTGCAGCTGGACATGTATTCATAACCTAGCCATGTCCTTCCCATGAATTTATGTATGGTATGCATGAATGTCTGCTAATCAGATTTTGAGCCATAATTTTTAAATGGGATGGGTTAATTTTTGTCCATGCTTTTTGATACTTTCAGTCCACAGCTGTGTTTCCTAACCCATCCAAACAGAACTTAACCTAACCAGTATTTCATTCCAAAACAAGGCTTCGATTCTGATTGGTGGACAGTCAGCCTATTTAACGAGCAGAATTATATCTGTATTTTCCTTTAATTTATATTTTCTGTTATAAAAATAAACAATATTAACAATTCAGACTTTACTGTTAACACCTTTACAATATTACCAAATAATAAATATGTGTACTTATAGTACATACGGTATACCTGAACGTATCTAAATGTTTGTGAATGAGTCTAAAAGAGGGAATGTGAACAGAAGTAAGGTGATAAAAATAAGTAGAGAAGGGAGACAGATGGAAGTAAATGTAAGCTTGAATGGAGAACGAAAGGATATGGGTGTTCCAGACATCTGGCAGTGGTTATATCCGCACATGGAAAGTACAATGATGACCCATAGACAGGGCCGAATTAAGGGTTTCATAAGCCCTGGGCACTTGTCTATAGTCAGTTCCTAAATTTGCCGATATAACATCTATTTATGTGCCTTATTTGAACTCAGACCCAAATTGTTCTCTTGGGAATGGGCTTGTTCTCTTAGCCCTATAACTATTTATACTATAAATATCTACAAATAACAAAGATTCACTACAAGGTTGACACTTGAAGCCATGTTTACTGAGGAGTTTCTGTCGTTTAGAAAAATGCTCCCGACAATAAATAAGTGGCAGAATTACTGAAAACTCGGGTAACCAAAGGGCTGGTAAACAGCTTTCCCAATGTGAATACTGTATAGCTTTTAGAACGTATTTGTAATACAGTGCTTGGTACCACTTCCAAAAGTAAGAGGTCATTTTCCAAACTTAAAAGGATTGTTACGAGTTGGGGATTTTGAATATAGTTAAAAGTCTACCCAGATCCCAACAGGCAACAACAAAAAAAAAACAAAGACAATCTGACTATAAAAGGGTAGACAAAGGATGCGAGTTTTCGTTGTGTATAATAAAGTACCATAAATTCCTTAACAAAAAATTCAGCTTCCTATAATTTACCCTTAACCATACTTAACCTAAACATTAACAGTATATACATATTTATACAACATACAATAATTTGAAGTAAGTGGACGTGGGGGAGGCAATATAAGATTACAAATACTTAAGTGCGGAGCTGAGATGGCTGACGAGCAAGGCTGAGTATTGTAGAAGACGGTAGGTAGTCACTGTGCCGTAGGTTTCCAGGATAGGTGATCCTGTGGTCACTTCCCAGAGTGAAGTCAACTCTCCTCAAACTCGAGCTGACAAAGAAGACTTGGAGGAAGTGACGCAACAACCAGGATATGGAGAAGGGAAACCCCGGAGTGGTAACTAAGACGAGTCATACTCGTGTCTCGTCCCTAGATGGCGTTGCTCGTGGTGCTGGGTAGGTAGATCAGGACAATAGATGGCGTGGTTCGTAGTGCTGGGTAGGTAGATCATGACAATTGGTGGAGGGGTTCGTAACACACCCCCCCTCCAAAGACCTCCATAGCGCGGGCGCGAAGGAGGTGATCACCTGGTGCGTCTGGAGAGTAGCTGCTGCATTTCCACTGGAGCTCGGGATAAGGAGTCTGCAATCAGGTTGTCCACCCCCTTTATGTGCCGGACTTGTAGATTATAGGGCTGGGTGAGGAGAGCCCAGCGGAGGATTCGCTGGTTGGAGGTCTTGTTGGTTTGGATGAACGTGAGTGGGTTATGGTCGGTGAAGACTAGGGTTGTTTGTGGGCAAGACTGGAGGTAACATTCAAACTTCTTTATTGCCAACACCAGAGCCAGGGCCTCCTTCTCTATGGTCGAGTAGTTGGTCTGATGTTTTTTCAACTTGGCGGAGTAGTATGCCACAGGGTGAAGGACATCAGTGGTTGGGTCGGGTTGTAGGAGCACAGCCCCAACTCCGACACCACTAGCGTCGATTTGCAGATGGAAGGGCAAGGTGTAGTCAGGGGGGTGGACTACAGGCTTGGAGGCAAGGAAGGCTTTGAGGCGGTGGAAAGACTGGTCGCACCTCTGGTTCCAGATGTAAGGGACCGCAGAACTGGTAAGGTCTGTGAGGGGTCCGGCCACGCTGGAGAAGTTACTGCAGAACCGACGGTAGTAGCCGCACATCCCCAGGAAGCGCATGAGTTCCTTCCTCGTCCTTGGAGTGGGGAAGGACAAGATGGCTTTAACGTTTGCGTCCTTGGGTCTCACCATACCATGCCCAACGATATGTCCCAGGTAAGTCACTGAGGCCCGGCCAAAAGCAGATTTAGCCAGGTTTATGGTGAATCCAGTCTCTTGCAGTCGTGCGAACAGTATCTCCAAACGCACCAGATGTTCGTCCCAGCCGTCCGACACCACCACCAGGTCATCCAGGTAGGCGAACGTCCCACCTAGGTCCTGAATTAGGTAGTTGATGGCCCTCTGGAATGTGGCCGGAGCATTAGAAAAGCCAAACGCCATAACCAAATATTGAAAAAGACCAAATGGAGTTATAAATGCCGAGATTATTTTTGCCCTATCCGTGAGTCCCACTTGATAATATCCTTTCAACAGGTCCACGGTACTGATAAATTTGGCACAGCCTATGCTGTCTATTATATCTTCAATCAAAGGTAAAGGGTAGGAGTCTGAGACAGTGACCTGGTTCACTTTACGATAATCGGTACAGAAACGAAAAGTGCTATCGGGTTTTGGAATGAGAAGGCAAGGTGAAGCCCAGGGGGAGGTACTAGGCTCAGCTAAGTTATGTTTTAACAAAAAGTCTACCTCCTTTTTCATAATCTCTCTTTTTTGTGGATTTAGTCGATATGCTGATTGCCTAATGGGTTGTACATCATCTGAGATTAGCTTAATATCATGTTTAAGTATATTGCAAAACCCTGGGAGGTCTGACGTGACTTTAGGAAATGTTGATAATAACTTAGTGAGATCTTTTGCTTGAGATGGATTCAGAACAGAAAAATACTCATCCAAGTTGTTGAGTATGTGACTGTTAGCAGGGTTTTCTTTAGGTAGAGGGAAGTCTAAATTCTCCAATAGATCCATGTCATCTGTCTCCGGCTCCGGCCCTGACAAAACCGTATGCAATACAGGTTGGCTTATAGCCTCTGGGATGTCTTCCTCTGACTGCCTGGAATGGTAAAGTTTCACGAGATTAATGTGAACAAGTTGTGAATCTTTTCGGCGATCAGGAGTATGAACTATATAGTTGAGGGGAGATAGTTTATCAGCAACTATATAGGGACCAGTAAACTTGCTTTTAAGGGGAGAGCCTGGAATGGGTAGAAAGAGTAACACTTTGTCACCTGGAGAAAATGATCTTTTAACTAATTTAGGTTGGGACTTCACCATTTTGTCTTGGACTTTTTTTAAGTTTGACTGAGCAATGGTTCGGACTTCAGTTAATTTGTCCCGTAAAGTGTCAATGTATTGGGAAACTGTTGCGGGCTTAATAGATGGAGTGTCAAACCACTGCTCCTTTACTATTTTAAGGGGTCCCCTAATTTGTCTCCCATATAGTAACTCGAACGGGGAGAAACCCAATGACTCCTGGGGACATTCCCTGATGGCAAAGAGTAACAAGTCTATGCTTTCATCCCATTCCTTTTGGTGTTCTATACAATATTTTTTGATCATTGATTTGAAAGTTTGATGGAACCGTTCCAAGCAACCTTGGGATTGTGGGTGGTAAGCCGAAGATGTACAATGGTCCACACTGAGGTCTTTCATCACCTGTTTGAAAAGATTGCTCGTAAAATTGGTGCCCTGATCAGATTGGATCTCTTTAGGAATGCCACTTTCCATTCACTGGGGACCATTTGTTCATCCAGGCATTTACAAAACAGAATCTTCAGGGGCTCTGCAAGCTCGTTGCACAGCTCTCTTAGCACTCTAGGATGCACCATGTCAGGTCCAGGACTCTTATGGACCTTTAGCCTGGACAGTTTATTTCTAATACCCTCTTCTGTGAACACAATGTGGGTCAGTGCTGTGTCGAACCGTCTGTCCTCAAACGCAGGAAGGTTAGTTGCATCCTCTCTTGTGAACACTGAGGAAAAGAAGCTGTTCAATGCCTCAGCTTTATCCTGGTCAGAATCTGCGTAACTACCATCTTCAAGCCTCAGGTCTGATACTCCTACTCGCGTTTTCAATTTCGACTTTGCATAGCGGTAAAACGCCTTTGGGTTTGACTTGACCTCGCGTGCAACCAGCCTTTGGAACTCCTTTTCAGCCCTCCTACACTCTATCTTTGCTTGGTTTCTGGCTCTTGCATACATCCTCCTGTCTTGCTCATCGTTTGACCCAACCCACGTCTTGAATTTCTGGGTTTTCTTCTTAATTTTGTCGACCGCCGCATGGTTCATGTGTAGGGATCCCCTCGTATTCTTAGAAGCACTGGGTTTGGTCTTGGGTATATATTTATCGATCAAATGGGTCATTTTACTAGTTATGATATTCAGCGTAGTGTCTGCGTTCTTGTACCTTAATAAGTCAGGCCAGTTGATACCCCTCATCTCTTCCCTCATCCCATTGTAATTTCCCTTGTAATATTTGCACCTTGGCCTGGCCTTATCTTGAACTAGGTAACAGTTAAATCTGAATGACAACACTGTATGGTGACTATGGAACAGCCTACTCTGGAGCTAGGGTACGGCATTAAACAGATCCGGATTCTTCCCTACACTCGATAAGACTTACTACACGACTGCCACGTGTAAGAACAGGTAAGCCTTATGACACTTGGAACCTAATATCCTACGGCTGTCACTCTTACTGTACGATAATACCAATATATGCGCACACATATGAAGGAAACTTTAAACCACCGTAAAGCAATTGTGAACAGAAGTGACTGGGAGGAATAATTAACAAGGAGTTACAAGGGAGGAAGGAATATGGTACTTAAGGTCGTGTCCTGTCACGGTCGCCATTTGTTACGAGTTGGGGATTTAGAATATAGTTAAAAGTCTACCCAGATCCCAACAAGCAACAACAACAAAAAAACAAAGACAATCGGACTATAAAAGGGTAGACAAAGGATGCGAGTTTTCGTTGTGTATAATAAAGTACCATAAATTCCTTAACAAAATATTCAGCTATCTATAAGTTACCCTTAACCATACTTAACCTAAACATTAACAGTATATACATATTTATACAACATACAATACTTTGAAGCAAGTGGACGTGGGGGAAGCAATATAATATTACAAATACTTAAGTGCGGAGCTGAGATGACTGACGAGCAAGGCTGAGTATTGTAGAAGACGGTAGGTAGTCACTGTGCCTAAGGTTTCCAGGATAGGTGATCCTGTGGTCACTTCCCAGAGTGTAGTCAACTCTCCTCGAACTCGAGCTGACATAGAAGACTTGGAGGAAGTGACGCAACAACCAGGATATGGAGAAGGGAAACCCCGGAGTGGTAACTAAGACGAGTCATACTCGTGTCTCGTCCCTAGATGGCGTTGCTCGTGGTGCTGGGTAGGTAGATCAGGACAATAGATGGCGTGGTTCGTAGTGCTGGGTAGGTAGATCATGACAATTGGTGGAGGGGTTCGTAACAGGATAAAAAAATTAATTAATTAAGATTTCCCGTAGGCCAGAGTCGCTTTTCATCATTGAAGTTACTTAGCAGAGAGAGATCACATTAAAAGGTTGGACTTAAAGGACATTATTTAAGACTTTGCTACAGCCAAGAACTGAAAAGTGTATTTTGTATGATTTATGAAACTATAATACAGTAAACCTGTAATTGAAAATAAACTGTTTAGTTGAGTTTATTCCTTTGTGGTTATTTATTCCTTTTAGATTTTATCAGATCTTTGTTTCAGGCCAGTCAGATGTGGTGAAGGTTTAAATACTAAGCAAACAGATACTTAATTAACGTCTATCATCACTTCGTCTTATGACTATACTGTAATATATTGTATTTCTCTCTTGCAAAACTTTATTGATTTTTTAATTTATATTCTATTGGCGTATAAAACTTCGTTGGCCATACCACAGTGAAAATTAATATTTCCCAATTTTTGTAGGTTCCTAAAACCTTCATAGGCACTTTGATAATCTGGCCTTACCCACAGAGTACCAAGTACATGTACAGTGATATCTCCGTTAGCCGGAACAATTGGTGCAGAGCACTTCCGGGAATGAGAGATTTCCGGGTAACAAGACGACTCAAAGCCAGAGAAAAATCTGTCATCCCCGGAATTTTCTAGGTAATGGAAAAATGTTCTCGGAAGTTCCAGAAATTGACCATTACATCATCTCTCGAACCCGAAAAAAAATTTCCCCATCCCCAGAATTTTCCGGGTATCGGGATTCTTTTTTCAGAATTTTCCGTTAAATATGCCCCTCGGAAAATCATTCCCAAACCCATAATTTTCCGGAAAATTCCAGCTATCGGAGAGTGCCGTGTTTGAGGGATTCCTGCTAAGGGAGATATTACTGTAATTGTAAAGGAAATAATGAAGTGAGATTTTTTTCCCCCAGGAAATAGTTACAAAATTATCTAAAATATCTTTGAAAATGGGTTGCTTTTAATGTTCAGAAAAGGCATGTACTGTACTGTACTAATTGGTTTCCAATTGATACTGTATCAGTACAGTATTTTAAACTAAATTTCTGAGTTTTCAAGATGAGCATGAAAATTCCACTCTTCAAACCATTGTGAACCATTTAGGCCTAATGATTCAAGGTCAGCTTAATGACCTGACCCAAAAATTAAGGATGTGGCCTAAATTATGTAATTTAGTAACAATCTTAGTCTTTTTTATAAAATAAAGGGTAGCTCATTAAATTGTAAACCATGAAATAATTTTTGTTTGGAAGATATAATTAAAAGTTCAGTCAAGTCTGCTCAAAAAAGATTAAAGCAATATACAGAACAATATTTCATGACTGAAATCATGAAGGTAAAGATTACTTCCAAAATTTATTAATTATTTATTACCAATTGCCTGCAATCAGTGAAATGTTACATTGAGACATCACCACACATTGACTTATAACAGTTTCAAACACTAAACAACAAAGCTTAAGCAAGTAAAAGGAATAAATGAATCCAGCATTTATGTCCTACAACTAACCCATCAATAAATATAACTATTTTCTAATGAACAACCAGCCAAGGTAGCTCCCACTTTACATCTGTTTGGATTGCTGTGATGAGATGCCAAAAAAGACTTAAATGTGCCATGGAATACAGTATTTATAATAATGTGACAAAATGTGTACAGCATAGTATCTGTAAATCGTGTACAGTACTGTAAATGATTTTGTAAAGGTGGGAAAGAGTTGTACCAGCATAATATATGACACTTGACCAGGTCATAAAATTCATATTTGAAGCAGTACGTGAGTCTTATATTTCTTACAACATTCAAGATAAATTCAAATGCAAAGGAGGTGTTTATATAGGCTTGGGCGTCTGGTTAGAATCTAGATCTTCGAGCGACAGGACCAGATCTTTAACAAACAGATGGTAATTATTATTATCATTTGCAATGGATATAATTTTGTCCGTATTCATTTCTTTGCATCAGTGGCATCAGTGTGGTCAATAACTTCATTATATCTGCGGCCTGTATGAGTGGTTGACAATATATAATTTTTATTTATTCGATTTGTAATTTTTATCCTTTATATTTTATTCGCATTTGTCTGCAGAACAGATATAATATCTACACAGTAGATATGAGAGGACCCGCCCGAAAATATTCTTTGCCTCCGGCAAGGTTTTCCGGCACCAGAGGTATGGCATCAATGTAAGCTTGCGTTCAGAACGAAAATATCGCCAAAATATTATTACGAAAATTGTAAATCCTCCACTTGTTTTGAGATGTTCTTAAGGTAAGAATGAACTTATCTTTAATAAAAAAAATTCTTAAATTAATATTGTAGTGGTCTTCCCCCCTACAACTGCGTATCCGCATTCTGATGCTACCGTATCCTTGCAACCAAACGAGCGGCGTCACCAGATGTTACCACCTTCCCTAGCAACGAACTAAAGACCGGCGACTTTCTCGGGTTTTCCCAACATGACTCATAGAGGACTCACGGCTGCTGGGTATATAAGCTCTGTCTCTCCATTGAGATTCATTCTGGTCTCTCTTCTTGAACAAGCAACACCTCCTCCTCCGCCGCTGCCTGGCAGCCCTCGCTTCTCCTCGCCTGCCTGGCGGTCCTCGCTCCCGCCAGCTAGCATGGCGACCCACCAGCTGTCCTTCTCTGAGCTTCCTCACCAACCAGCTCTCATTCTGCCCATCTTCCTGAACAAGCAACACCTCCTCCAGCAAGCTCCACGCTGTCCAGCTTTCATTCAACCAGGAGGCCAGCAACAGGCAACATCTTCTCTAACGAAGCTCCTGCACATCTACCTCCTTCAACACGCTACTCACCGAACGTCTTCTACTGAGCAGCTCCTCACCACACGGCACCTCCAGCACCAGACTGTCTATCATATAACTTATATTATACAAGAAAACCACCTTAGAGTTTCCATCCATCCTGAGTGCTAGACAACATTAAACCACGAATTCCTACAATATACTGTACAACATTTTATGAAATAAGGGTGCCTTTTACTTACCTTGAAATACTTCTTACCATAAAATATGCATTGAAAGAAAGTAAAAAAAAAAAGACGTAAAACGAAGAAACTATAATCAACACTAATCACCTCAAGAGAACCTGTACACTCATTCCATAAAGTGACAAATTCTACAAGTACTATTACTGAATCATATATATATATATATATATATATATATATATATATATATATATATATATATATATATATATATATATATATATATATATATATATACACTTGGTTTTAATACCACGCTCGCTGTATTTTTTAACACTGGTTACCGTGCAGCAGGCTCGAAGATTTTAAATACCCTGCATTCGTAGGTTTCATTTTCCTTGAATTGTATACATTAAACAATTTCCTAACTGAAACACATACATTACGTCTACAATGACATTAAAATACACTGACTCAAACTGAATTAGCTACTGGATTTTCACTTAAACATAGTAAAGAGGGATTTCGTGAATGACAAAACGTGGAATACCACGTGACTAACATAATGTAGTTATATCTTCTATGCATAAAATATTAATAATTCCTGTACATAATCCCAGTGGATACTTACCGAAAGACGCACCACACGTTACCAGTCTCGCTGAATGTGAGTACAGTTTCTTGAGACATCATATCGTTATTTCAAGTAAATCCTCAGCTAAACCTAACTCCGCGCACCATAGTCAGTGTTCCGGACAATGCTAAATTTGGCGGGAGTTTGGTGGCGGTAAGTTCGGTAACTTATTTTTTGGCGTACAATCTTATTTGTAAATATATAAATAAGAAATAAATGCACCAGACATCTAAAATGAAAATATGTCAGTGGTGATATAGTCAATGTTGATTTTCATTATTTGCTGAAGGTCAGGACAGCTTTGACTTAAAGAGCTCACCTGACTGACACTTCAGGTGAGTGAAAATACACTATTTATTTTTTCATGTATTTCATTGCATTCTTAAAGAATACCATAATTTATCCTTTCATACAACATATGAAAATTTTATCACTATATTTTAACTTCCCTTGTATGTGCACCTCAATAAACATGGCATTAGTATCCAGCTGTCTGAAATAAAAATTTTAATTGTTGGTGACAAAACGTCAATTCTCACTAGATACATTGTTCGCTAACGCCAATACGTTATTGGGTTTAGCTGCTCCCTTTATGAAAAAGCCTCCCCAATCTTCTCTATTCAGACTCACTTCTACCCATTGAATAGTAGTAGCCTAATCATTAGATACTCATTGTGTCAAGATTTATAATTAGTGATTTTTATTTTGCAAATCACATTGTTGATGGTGGGAAATATTATCAAGAGCCATCGTGGCTAATGCTACAATTTCAAGGACCTATCAAATGCGCAGATAAGAGTGACAAAGTCACTCAAATCAATACTCATGCATTATATTGAAAGAAATTTGAGAAATTCGTTCGGCATCTCAAAAATTTTAGGTTCACAGACAGCTGGACAGATTTTTGTTCCGTATACAGAAAGCAGCTCTGACAACGCCTGTTAGAATAGGATACACAATCCTCATTTAAGTTTCATGCTGGTTACAGAAAAGTATATAGTACTTTTACGATATAGCTGTATGAATATAATTTTACAACTTTGCTTCATTTAAGAGTTAGATTATCTGATGGTGTCCCAGGCATGTAATCTACAATGTAATCCTAAAAGGTCAACCCCTGCTGGCACTAACAAGATATTTCTTTCCTTATCTGAAGATGGTGTTGGTTCGAGTTATAAGCGCGAAATTGTGCCTCAGTCTAACTTTGAATACGCTTTTCTAATAATGTAATTATTCAATGTAATTTTTGAAAAAAAGAATGAACAAGAATCCTATAATGTTTGAGAGGGTGATTAGAAGGTGACAACACCATGATAGTGTAGAAGAGGTTGTGGCACGTGGGAAGAAGGCAGGGGATCACCTTGAGATTGTCGTGTTAACACACATTACAATAATCTGCCAATAATCCAAACTAGTATTTGTTTAGCAACATTCAACATGGGTTTTAAGCTCTAAGTTATTTGTTAATAAAAGCTTTTAGGCAGATAAGTCGATACAGACGAGTCCTTACAGAGTTCAGAATACATGAAGAAATTTTACTTAGGTGAATAATAAGCATTTAAAACATCTTATAAAACAGTACCCCTTAAAGTTTGTAACCTGTGTTCCATATTTTCTTATAAATTGTTTAGCACAGTATTTTGCTGACCAATAAGCAATGTTGCAGAATTTGGGTAAACAAACACATTCCTTCCATACCCTACATACAGTCTGCCTCTCATGCTATACTATTAACAGTGCATATTTACCGGGTACCAATTATCAATGCATGATATGTACAGATGATATCAAAGCTGCTATGCTTATGGATACAGAGTGGGAAAAAATTACAATTCTGTCAATAATTGTTCTATTTTCATCTTCATACAAATATATTATACATGCTAATGCATGCGACAAAAGCAATATGATCAGTATCGAAAAACAAATTTGTAAAGTCAATGAAGCACTGAAGTGAGTGTATAGCATGTAAGCTCTTCTTTTGCAATATCTCTCTATAACGTGTACTATACAAACACTCAAAACTCAACCACAGTTAAAAAAAGGGAGATACGCAACAAGAAAATATTGAAACAAATGGACAGCAACATATTTACATAATAATCATGTTATGTACACAATTACAACAGTGTTACATGGTTGTGAACGTATGTTACAGATAACAGCACTGACAGCAGCTAGTGTCGACACTTACAGCTTGGCTCTGAAGCACAAGACAGACCTCATACTAATACTGGTGTTCCGAATGCAGTATTAAAAAATCTTTATTTTTGTCACATTAGAAAGTTATTAGCAAACTGCTAAGAAAGTGCATTCAGCAGTGACTATTATTTACGGCTTCATAATACAGCAACGATTTCTGTATGTCTATAAATATTGTATACCTGCACTGTCAGCCACAGTGGCCGGCATTTGATTCATTTACGGGGGAGGCTGTTGCTGTTCTTTGAAATGTAGTCAAACTGATACTGCATTGAGTAATACGATGCTCTCATACCGAGTGAATTAATGAAACCTGTCAATGGAATATGAGGCATAACAGTGTTGTAATTATTCTCATAAATGACAAATTCTTCGTATATTAATTTGTACCTTTTACGGGCCATGAACAGTACCTACTACTCGATGAATAGTTGTATCCTATCAGTGTAAAATTGTTCTAATTTCTATGTACTGTGTAATTTTTTATGATTGCTATGCGTTGCTATGACACTAACAGGTCAATAGTCTGTGGAAAATGGCAAAGTGATTTTTACTTCATATTGCACCAGATTTAACTGATTGTCATGGATGTTAGAGACCTACGTTGTGTGTGGTGAGATATGTTAAATGATTTTAATGTTAGGTCAAATCAAATTAATCTAGTCTCTCAGAGAGAGTGATTACTGGAAACCTTTCTAATTTGTGGTGTATATGTACAAAAGGCTTTGCATAAAAAGACGGTTTCATAGAGAAATATGAAAGCAAAAGAAATAGTGTTATTCTTGGCCACCAGTCTTCGTTTACTTGAAGATTTGTTGAATACGTATACTGTTTTTCTCCTACTACTGTAATTGGATTTTATAATGTTCAAGAATTGTATTGTAGAAACTGGGACCAACTGAACGGTGCCTAATAACCTTGGTGGTTGAAATACCGAAATAAAAAACATCATATGTACTTTCAAAGAACAGTACAAATGACCCTATTTTTTAAGAGCACCTAAAACAAAGAGTCAAGAGTTATATGTTCCCATTACGACAGAATTTCTCGTCTGTGAAAGCTACCAAGATGTTTCTCAAATGTCTATTATTTAAACTATTCTTATCTTATTATATGAAAATTACCTGATAGAAAGTGTCAAAATATGTGCTCTGTTTGTTTCTCTGTATACTAACTCATTATGAGACTATTCTTCTTGACTCTAATGACAAATTCTGCAAAATAATCTTTTTATAAATAGTATAAAACAATTGCTCTGACTGGCTTATGGCTTCTTGTGTTTTGTATCTTGTCTTCTATACCAGAAGTTGACACGATAATCTATCAAGATTTATCACAACTTCATTCGATATAATTTAACATTTTAGCCTAATGACTTATTATAAAGATAAAATTATGAGCTGATGCACATCCTTGTCCACATTGAGCAATGAATTCAAAGGAGACAGTAAGTCTGATTACGGAACGGTCGTCTTTGTATAACAAAATATTACATATCCAAAATTGATCTAAACTGCAGTAATTTTAAGAATATGTGCAATATGATAAAACAGTTTTGGCATATCATAAGAATGTGAAAGGCAAAAAGATCAATATCTGCTGGCTTATTCTCACAATTAATTTTTGTCGTCAACACCTAAAACAATTTTACCACATATTTTAGGTAGAAGACAGTGACTTGTACACCTACACTAAGTCCTGACCATCTACGGGTGATGCAAGACCAACATGTGCTACCGTACATGACAAATTCTTCAACTAGACTTAATCAGAATACAGGATGTACTCGCCTGGCGAAGTTAAGACAGGCATTCCATGTACCATTTTATGATTCTTAGCTGGTGAAATGTTAGTAAACTGCAATATATACAGTATCATAAAAAATACTGCAATATAATGTATTCTTCTTAAGGGTAGTTTTAGAATAGGTCCAGAAAACTACAACAGTCTGGATACCACAGCCAAAAAATCATGATACTACACCATGTTCACATACAGAAGCTTTTGTAATGTCAGTTGATACTTATGGTTTATGAGTGACAAATAATGGCACACTGTGGGGAGGGGGGAAAGGGCACCACAGGCTGATATTTGACAGTAGTACAATGTCTTGACAAATGAACGCGTTTTGGACATCACTTATGTGGTACTCCATTGTCTACCAACATCCTACACACTCATAAGTAACGTTACTACCTTTTTATCTTAGATAGTAGCGAGCAAAGTGAGAATTTTGTGGCAATGTTCAGCAAGTAAGGCATCATGTCACACCTCCCATGTCTCTTACTGAAATAACTAAGTCACTTGTACTCTGCTGACATCACTGATTATATGTGCATCTAACACACTAGATATCTGTGCAGGTGAAACGTGTCAGAGTTTGTGCAGACAATGTGACACTAAGAGAGGTTCCATTATCACACAGCAGCACAACACTGACGTGACGCACCAGTACCACACGGAAGACTTACACATTACCTAGAAGAAAACAAAAATACTAATGTAAAGTTATATATATATAAAATTATATCCCGAGATGTAAAGTACAACACAAGACAGTTAAATCCTTTATCCATATGAAGAGGTACTTACTCATGGGTTTTCAAAATTATTCCAAACAAGTTCTTTAATATCAAGAGTAACTTCCTTCTTTCATACTAAAAATACAGGAATGTAATTTCGAAGAATTAAGACAGTGAATAAAAAATACATACTGTATATAGTATGTATGGGTTTCTAATAAATATTGATGTAATTCCCTTTAATTAGAATTAATTTATTGTCCATATGTAATACAAGTACAGTATCACACTTAGGTTTTGGTTCATTTCGTTATTCTTAATTCCACATCTATACATAAACCGTTGCTTACCTCCACTGATGAAATAATCACCGTGGATTCTTCCCAGTCACAGATCTTTATACAGTATTAGCATAAATAATGTAACATTTCAGTGTGTACTAACATTTTCGTTGTAAATACAGTAATAGGTAAATTTATGTTGATTCAAAGATAAAAGTGTTGAATTTTTGTTTAATAAACATTCATCGTCTACAAGGTAAGGTTGGTATATTGGCCCGGTGCACCATTGTTTTCCTAATAACTACATGGGAGTCATTACCAATGATTCCCCCTGTTTACATGCAAATTCTAAAATAAAAATTGCGTTCAAAGAAAATCTCATTACAACATTTCCTATACGTAAACATGCTGAGACTAGGTTGAAATTAAATGGGCTAGGGGGGTCTTATACCTAGATAAGATAATGGGGTGCACATTGAAAAGAAAAACAATCTCCAGAGTTCTTATATTGTACTTCAGTACGTGCTTCACAGCTTGGAAGGGCACTCCCCGAGCTAATAGGTTTGTACCAGCTTATTATATACAATATTTTTATTTGTTATTAAATATCATTATTATTACTATTAGTAATCATAATGTACAGTACATAGTGAAAATGTGAAGTAAACCTTAAACCTTTAGAGGACAGTAACCTTATAAGTAATCCTAACATGGTGAGGTAAACATCTTACGGTAAGACTTTCAGTCATCTCAAAAGTTCAGAAAACATACAGCGTATAACACAAGAACTTCTGATTTGAACTGTATAACATCCTTACATAACTTAGGTTTCATTAGGTTAAAACTGATACAATGACATAATTGTCATCAGTTATAATTATGAATACTGTAGTAAAAATAATTTGACAATAAACAGGCTGAAATTGAAATGAAGAGTGATTTTGCTGTCACTTACCTTCACAGTGAATACTTTGGCTGAAGGATTACAGTATACTGTATAGTTACTGTAGGAATGGGACTAAGATTTTTGAGGTCACGAGTCCAAGTTTTGGTCTATGTATTTTTTTCTTCTGCAAAGAGATTTATTGTGCTTGTCGACTTTAATACCTGAATGAATATATGATTAATTAATATGAGGGCAACCACAGGTCATGTACTTAATATTGGAAGAACAAATACTGTCAATGTATATAGCCTTAACAACATCAACCTAGAGAAGTCGACTTGTGAAAGAGACCTAGGGGTACTTGTAAGCCCGGACCTACGGCCTAGAAAACAGTGCGTTAATGTTCGAAATAGGCAAACAGAGTATTGGGTTTTATATCTAGAAGTGTAAGTGATAAGAGTGCAGAGGTCTTATTGCAACTACAGTATATCTTGCGCTAGTCAGGCCGCACCTCGATTATTCGGTTCAGTTCTGGTGCCCTTATTATAGAATGAATATCAATTCACTAGAGTCGGTGCAGCGAAGAATGACGAAAATGATTCCGGGTCTTAGAAACCTTCCATATCAGGATAGGTTAAAGAAACTAAACTTGCATTCCCTAGAAAGACGAAGAGTGCGGGAAGATATGATAGAATATTTAAGTGGGTGAAAGGAATCAATAAAAGTGATATAGATAAAGTTCTTATAATATCCGAGCAGGATAGGACTCGGAACAACGGATTTAAGTTGGATAAGTTTAGGTTTAGGAGGAGAGAGGAAGGAACTGGTTTACAAATAGGGTGGTGGACGAGTGGAACAAGCTTAGGAATTTTGTAGTAAGTGCTGGAACGCTGGAAAGTTTCAAAAGGAGGCTGGATAGATTCATGGATGATAGAGAGTGGTAGTAACTCTCGACAGGAGCTGCCATGCACAGGCCAACCGGCCTGTTGCAGACTCCTTATTTTCTTATGTTCTTATGTTCTTATTTATGTCAGGCCTTTTCGATTATCACGGCCGCCCACAGTTGTCAGCATCAATAACTCAAGTGTGTATAGGACGTTTGGATTTCACCCATAGTGTGGTTGTAAAGAGCCAGATCAACAGATCCCATTGAGCTCATAACACAATATGGTCCTCACCTTAGCCTTCTTTTTTGGTAGACTGCAACTTACAAAATTTGTGAGTACTGTACAGTACGAAATGGTGAATGTGCATATCATCTCTGATAAATTATTACAGTACTACTAAATTCGGAGATGTGTATTATCATATTACATATTTCTGGCAATTCATAGATTATGACATTGTTTACACAAGTCATTTATATAATAATTTTCCACATTTATGTCTGCCATTGACAAAATCCTTAGTCATCAGTTGTGCCGTCATTGCTAATCGTCACAAGCGGTTTCTGACATCTTAAAGGTGGAATTTCATTATTAATACAGTACAGGTACTGTACTAAATAACACAAACGTTATATTTCTTTTGTAATGCATAGAATAAGAACAGGTCATATAAAAATATACTAACTGTAAAAATACATGCAATAAATAAATAAATAAATATTGAATAATAAATAAGGCAAATATCTAAGAGGAACCTATTCTATATATATATATATATATATACAGGACTTGCAGTATGACTACGAAGTTTAGAGCGAAGTTAACTCCAAAGCATGTTCTCCTCGGCATCACCTGACATGGGCCACGTGCTGTTGGTGGGCAGAGAAAACATGCACATAAAATTATAGCGAAGGATATGGGAAATCATTATATAAGAGAACCCTTCTAATTCATAGCTGAAAGAATAATGCCACAACTGATCATTAATCAATCCAAACATTATGTTGGGCCAAAACTTAATAGTCTGCTGCGAGGGTATAAATAATATTGGTACAATACATTATAGTAACACTGTACTGAAAAGTAATGTACAGGATAACAAATGGGATATAGGCAAATAAGGAAATAACGTGTATCTTAGTTTTCATTAATTTTCTAGAACTTGATAAAAATATAAATTAACAGGGTTCAAACTTTATCTTATAAAGATGTTAAAGAAGGCAAACCATGCAATTCAATAAATCAGGATATAAATTATTAATACGAGTATATACTGTACTGTATAAAGAATAAACATGTGGCAACTTTCTTTAACTATTTAAAATAAATTTAATTTCGTTTAAACAATTAGTTTACAACAAAATAGGGGTGCAGGTTGATTTCATATCAGAAGCAAATTTAATATATAATAATTGCATGCTTTAAAAGCTTATATAAACATTCATAAGGCATGCACAGCTAAGATATAGTGCTTTGACACAAATCTGTAATGTCAAACACATTTACCAGACAACACTAGGGCATTTGTTTCCTTATGTTGTTGACGTTATAATGTTGTTACTGGGCTTCAACAACTAAGATTTTCAAACACGTAATAAGGTTAATAATTACACTAGTCCACCGACAATTGAAAGCTACGAGAGATAGAACTGTTTTCTTCTGCCACAATAGAATATTTTACCTATCACTGTACAGTACATCCGTTTCAATTCTTGTAATATACAAATAAACTCTGCAATGACAATATATGAGCAGTACGCTGTATTGCAAAGAATAATATCAATAAGACAAAGTCAACACATTTAACTAAAATGTGTGATAAAAAAATCGAATTTTATGGTTATTCCAAATGAGTGAAAGATTATCTGCCCTCACTCGTTTTATTAATTAGAGTATATTGCTGCTCTACAAACTCTGCGCATTTTCATTTTTAATACCCAAATTTACCCAATAAAATTTAATGGAATTAATGCATTTATATTTTTAAATAAATCTGCAAATATTTCAGGCAATTTGATGACGTTAAAATCTTCACAAACCCGAATTCTCACTGGTTATATGATTTTGCTAACTGCTTACAAAATTAACGTGCACATAACTGCATCTAACTTACCCTGCTTGGCTTAGGTCAAACACCTTGCCCCTGTTGGTGTCATTGCCATAGGATTTAGGTGAAGCATGACCGTCTACTCCTGACTGGTGGCACAGCAAGAAGGTTACAATCTCATTCCTGCCTTCCAAGGCCATTATTACAGCCTTTCCATCGCTAGAGATCTCACAGGCAGTAATGGCTTGGTCAGGGGTCATAACAGCAAGGCTGTTACCTGGAGGAAAAAAAAATCAATGATTATCAAGATCAAGTTGCGATAAATGTAACTAACTAAATATTCATATTCTTAAAGAAGCTTAATTTACACAAGAATACGTTCTCACAAGTGTCACAATTACATTTATTCTTATTACTAATTTCAATTCCTATGATATCACATTTTATCTAATCTATGTTGAGTTTAGCAGTCACAATTGTGGAAAATGTGACTTACCAGAGTGGATGTCCCAGACTCTTACAGATCGATCCCGACCCAGGGAGTCGTAGGTAAGACACTGTAGGCCTCGGTTGTCCAGTCTGATGGTGGTTGGCGGGGCAGTGTGACCTTTCAATGTCCACCGGGGATTACCTTAAAAGATGTTGAGTAGTTGTTTGATTAACAAGTAATAACTTCATCACACCTAAAATAAAAAATGCAGTTTAATACACAAGAACATTTGATCCAGTTCAATAGAGTTTTAGCGAGTGCTTCCATCTGCTCATTGGCCTTAGATTTTTTTTTCTTTCAAACCTATATCTTTGCAACTCAAAACTACCTAGCAGATATTTTTCATTAATGAATATATTTCATATTTTACTTAACATTTTTTCTGGACCTTTTCACTAAATAAAAAAACAATATTTTACTCATATATGAATTAGATGAATAAACAAATAGAAAAAGAAAGTAGAAACGGACATTTAGATTTGACGTTTTATCCTGGATGTGTTGGATCCGACAACGTCCAGGCTGAAATGTTCAAGGTCAAAACATCTGTGGCCGAAATGTTTGATACTGACATATAACACGACTGTCCATAGTTTACAGTGACTTATCCTTGAAGAGCTGACAAGAGGTATTCAAATGTCAATATCCCACTCAGGGCCGAATTCAGGAGTGGGCAAAGTGGGCAGCTGCCCAGGGGCCTCCACAATCTGGGGGCCTCCACATGTGCGGTAGTAGCTATATCAGGGCTGGTCGACTTGAAACCACATGAATGACTCCAGTCATGTCTCGCTTTTGTATGTGTGTGTGTGTGTGTTGGCAATTTGTACACTATCAATAAATATACAGTTAATTAAAAATTTCTCAATGTTCTAATTTCCTCAATATAACTGCATATGGCTTCAAAATTCTCCAAAGAAGTGTTAAAATTTCAAAATTTTCCCGGGGGGCTTACAGCGCCCCCCGGAACTCCTAGATGTTTAGGCTCGCTTCACTCGCCACCCCATCCTCTTGGGTAGTTATAATGAGGGGGGGCCTCCACAAAGAAGCTGCCCATGGGCCTCCACAGGTCGAAATCCGGCACTGATCCCACTATTCTGTATTTTTATTATATGGTTAAGCAAGTGTCAACATTAACTAGGTATCTAAGTTTAGTCATAGGACCAGAAATACTAAGACCAGCCACAGTACTGGTAATATCTAACACTACCCCCAGTCGGTAATATCTAACACTACCCCCAGTCGGTAATATCTAACACTACCCCCAGTCGGTAATATCTAACACTACCCCCAGTCGGTAATATCTAACACTACCCCCAGTCGGTAATATCTAACACTACCCCCAGTCGGTAATATCTAACACTACCCCCAGTCGGTAATATCTAACACTACCCCCAGTCGGTAATATCTAACACTACCCCCAGTCGGTAATATCTAACACTAGCTACAGTACTGGTAATATCTAACACTACCCCCAGTCGGTAATATCTAACACTAGCTACAGTACTGGTAATATCTAACACTACCCCCAGTCGGTAATATCTAACACTAGCTACAGTACTGGTAATATCTAACACTACCCCCAGTCGGTAATATCTAACACTAGCTACAGTACAGGTAATATCTAACACTAGCTACAGTACAGGTAATATCTAACACTAGACAGTACCGGTAATCAAGTCGTATGCCATCAACTTGGAGTCCTCGAGACCAACAATAACACAGCTCCCCGCTGAGGATATAGCAATGGAGATGATGTTTACTCCAGGCTTCCACTTTTTGAATAGTGTTCCACTCTGCAGGTCATACACTACAATGAAGTTCGGGGCCGGTTCATCCACCTCCTGACGGACACAATGCACGAGTCATTATTCATAGGACAATTTGGAATAAAATTACAAATAGTGTAAGCGTGAGTAACTTTGATTTTATCTAACAGGATGGAAAAGTCTTGTACGAGATCAGTGAAGTGTAATAAGAATGTTAGATACACTCGAAACTAATATCTAAATTAACGCAGTGTGAAAATACTCATGTTCTTCATTCTACCTAAAATATCAGTCTTCTAAAAGATCAAAACATTTTCGCATGCAAGGCTTTGTAACTCATGTCTAACACTATAACATGTACACAGACGGAAACTAGCACTGTATGTTTAAAGTGTAGAAGAAAAGACTAATGGATAGAACATGTGCCACAAGCCCGCTAGTATGTATGTAAAACAGGTCTGATATTCCGTCCAAAGTACACATAAGTATTTGTATTCGGAGTATCTTACCCTGCAGACACAGGAGACGTAGTGGCCCTCCTTGGTGATGGCGGCGTGGCGAGTAATAAACTCATGGTGAGGGATGCGTAAATCATACATCAACTTGCGAAGCTCCAGGTCCCACACTAACAGGGCTGACGGCTTCTGGGTCTCATCTCCGCACACACAGATTTTCCCGTTTTCAGACACCATTAGACTGTTCAAGAATCTATCCTCTCCAACCTGAAGATGACCAGAATAAAAGTTACTTATGAATTCCAGCGTCAAGTGCTAATAGTAAGTTATTTATCTGTCACATCCAACAAGTAGCTTAGAAAACACAAAGTAGCATGGTGCATATACAGTAGTTTTAATACATTTAGGAAGGCCACTTGGCATCATTAGAAACTACAGATGCTCATATACTTCACATGACTCAAAAGCAGTTTCATTAGAGAACACCATAATTTTGGGGGTCTTATGATTTATAACCTCGGCCTAACTCCGTGTGAGTGTAGAGAAATGTGTGCACAGTTATTAAGAGTTCTTTAGTCAGTATAATCCACATTTTCCATGTCGTCTTCCACATTCTAGATAAATTACTTACGTTGAAAGAAGCAGAAGGATAATCTAGATGCTACTATTCGACTATTTGGGTTCGGATAATTTTACCTTAAATCAAGAGATTCTAGTAAATGAAGTAGTTATCCGCACATATAACTCCATACAAGTGTTTTTCATAATACAAAAATTAATAATTTACCCCGAAACAACAACCAAGGGCAACTCCAATCCTAAGTATCATAATTACATATTGGAAATACACAAAAACAAGGAAATCCACTAGAAATCAAACATTAAAAGATAGAAACTTAAGGCAGTAGGACGCAATTTATGTTTCTGACTGTTAGTATGGATTTCATGTAGAGGATGTGTTTCCAAGTACTGTATAAGGAAACGGTAGTTATAATTTATCAAACCTTAAACGTGGCCACGCAGTCGCCGTTCTGGAGGTTCATCATGTTGACGTACATCCTGGAGCGGGAGAGAGCCACCACATGGTCCTTGTCATGGAGGCCAAAGTATGGCATCTTCTGGTTCATAACCTCTCGCAACTTCATCACGAACAGCCCCTCGTCAAAATTGTAGATCCGAAGTTCACGACCGCAAAGAACCAAACACCGGTAGTCGTCAATCATCTAAGATGGATAAAAAGTTACTATTTATGTGTAAAAAAAAATTTTATTTGTGTGAAAACAAGTGTGTTCGTGATCATCGTCCCTCCCCCCTCCAATATATAAAGTACTATAAATTTTAATGGGTAAAAATGTAATCCTCAGTGACAAAAGACAAGATAGAAAATTATATACAAACAGCATATTTTTTACAATGCTAACAATACCCACAAAAGATGGATTACTACGAGAAAAAAATCAGTAATAAAATTACTCACAAGAGAATAAGCTTCCCTTTGGTGAACAAGAACTGTCGTACAGAGAAAGAGGAATAAATATAATAAGATTGTCAGTATAATGTACCAATACCAGTATCCTGACATTTCCTTAGAGGTGAAGAATCATGAACTCACAAGCAGGTATTCATAATTTAGTTACCTTAAGTTTTCGTGGCTGAGTGATACCAGTGAGGGTGCGAACTGGTGACATAGTGAAGATGTTCCACACGGCGATCTCCCCTCGCTCGGTCGACAGAGTGATGACGTAGTGGGGGTTTTGCCGAGCCCGAATCAGCGCGTTGAAGTACACCTGTCCGTCCCCGAGCTTCATGTTCTGATCCTGGAAGGGTTCATGTAAGCAGACGGTGAGTGGCAGGAGGCAGGGCACGGGGGCGCTGGCAGCAGTCTCGTAGAGTTTCTTGATGATGGGGTACGTCTCATGGTTCTGAGGGTCACACATGAGGGTGGACAACCTACCACACACCTGTTAGGAAACAAGATAAAATGTCATCGCAATATTGGATTCATACTATTTTCTTATTATTAATTGCTTTGTTTATCTTGGGGGGTCACACCTTATAGTAGTGGACGAACCAGAAGAAATCTTCTGGTTTGTTAAGATCCCCAATTTTCTGCAGCTATTTTACTCGGTTTTAAACCATGATAACCGTTCCACCTTTCACTGCTTCAGCACAACATAATAATGTAAGCCACTTTCCCATCTTATTTCAAAACTCAGTGAGGTACAGGAGGTATGAATTAACCTGTGAGTAGAACTGTCGCCCGTCGTACCCCAGAGCATAAGCCGCCAGCTCCAACACCTCCTTCAACAGCACCAGTTCAATGTTATTGCTGTGGTTCGTTAAGGCTAGAGACACGTCTTCTAGCACCTGGGGGAAGAAGGAAGGTTTCATGATCAGGTTTTTACAGGATCTATGGAATATGTATAAATATACAAATAAGTCTTTGGACAAGCTTGCTTCTCTATCCTTGCGAGTTTTTCATGTTCTTGTGTTTTTCCTGCTTAGTGTGAAAACATACTTATAGTTAGTGAAATCTTACGTAACACACACAGACTTACATACATGGATAAGTTAACTTCCAATCATCAATTGTGTACTTCTTATTAACATACAATAGTTATGCTTTGTGTCATTAACCAAGAATGGGCAGTAACCTCACTAACATGTACTGTACCTTGTCCTCATTTGATGTTTATTTATACTGTATTAAGCACAAACCTGATCTGGTTTACTGCCTCAGTTTGTATGACATCCTTATCTAGTTTGTGTCACTTTTATCGGGAAGGAGTGACTACTTAAATGGGCCCCAATTTTAAGAATCTCCATTCTAACCTAACGTAACTAGTGGGCATTAATCCTAATGATCCTGATTTTTATGGTTAACCTAGGTTGGGACCTATTAAAATGGGCCCCATTTATCTTATAACTTTGAGAAGTTCCACAACCTCATTCAACAAGTTCCATATTCTCACCTGGTAAGTATCTGAGCCACAGAGCTTTTCATATACCCATTCAAAATTGAGGACAAACTCCTCGAGTATCCTGCCTCGAAGCTGAAGGACTTGATAGGGTAGTTCATCCAGTTTGCGACGGTTGTGTCTGCTGAAGACTGACTGCACCGAGATCTTGGACATGTTGCTGCAAGGTCAAGAGATATCAGTGAACTTATCTTTGACTGCTCTTTGTATACAAGATGACTTTAATGCAATATGAGTAAATTTCTTGATTTTTTTAAGATAGTAGATTAAAATGTATGCATACAGTATGTAAGCAAAGGCACCGCCATTAAGATTATGAATAAATAAGAACCTCACTGCACTTATACTGCTGTCTGAATAAAGCGTTTGAACGTTAAAATTATAACAATGTAGATGATAAAGATTCGTTTTGTATAAATTTTGATGCAAGCTGAATATATGAGAAGACATGTTAGTAAATTTCTACTAGCAATCTGTCTTGGCCCTTTCCTCACACTATCTACAGTAGTCTCATACCACCATCTTTCCCTCCCTTCTTTAATGATTTTGATCCTCTTGATCTTTTCCATACAAAAGCGGGAGAATAGCATAATTAACAGTGATAGATTTGATAAGTGAGAGAGGTAAGGGCTGACCTGCCGCGGTACTTGGTGGGTTGGTCCAGCACATAACGATCCTTGCCTTCCTCCACCCCAGCCTCGTATACTGGCACGGGTTTCTTCACTCCGTTGGCCCACTTGCTCTGTTCAGGCAAAGATTCCATCGTGATTACCAGAAATCAGTAGGATACAGATAATGATCTTGAGTGTGTACACGTTAATGATCCTGAATACATGTTACCTTGGTAAGAATGAAGTTAAACATAATTTTTTTGAATTTTGAGTCAGATTGTAAAATCATGCAATATTTAAGTGTATGAAGTGTAACAATTATAAGTTTTATTATACACCACAATACATTTACAACAATATTTAGTATGTAAGTTATTATTATGGTTGGAAGTATTTTCTACCTAAATAGCACCCAAGAAAATTTGTATGAGGGGAGGTTATCCCGACACACTCCATTATGGTTTCATATTCTCTTAATGTGTTTACAGTTATATATTGCCAGAGCTTTTTCTACTTGGCCAGATTTAAAATAAAATTCATGTGGGGACATTCGACAGGGCATCCCTAAAATTGGAGTGATAGGCCATAAGTTTTTCGAAGAAAATATTAGCCGAGACATAAGGAAATAATCACTTTAAACAATAATAGGCGCTTGAACAAGATAAACAAAGAAATAAACAATTTCAAAATAATATTCAAATGCCAGGTACCACGAGAGAGCTTAGTCTTCGTATTAATTTAGGAATGGAATAACAGGTTCAATTTCATACATAATGCAGATATATTGATAACTTGTAAACTGGTTCACCTGGAAGTAACTACAGGTATGTTCTGCATCATAAATAATAAAAATACTGTATTGATAACCAGTACAGTCGGATACCTGGAAGTAATCAATGAGGGCGGTACAACACATGCTGATCTGGTCGGGCGTGCCCAGGTAGCGGACACGAGCAGCGTCCCTGAAGCTCTCGTGGCGCCAAGTAAGCAGGCAAATCCCCGCCACGATCGTCTTCATAAGGAAGGGCTGCAGCTGCCTCGAGATCTGTACCCACACCAGCGACGGACACCGCCTCACTGTGGGCACAAAAGACGTCAGTGTGTCTCAGGAAGGCAGTCAGGAAGTTACTGTGTATTGATAATTCACAAAGACACCTACAGGGTATATACAACAATGTACATTACACCATGTTGTACCTCATGAACGCACATTTATAAACGACACATGCTCACCTGGCGGGGTACAGTGGACGAAGATCTTCTCCAACAAAGCCTCGTCGCAAGAAAGGATGTCGATCATCTCAGAGTCTGAAAGGCCATGTTTGGCGGCAGTCAGGTAACCCAGGGTGTGTGAGACTTCCACCTGGGGGAAAACAACACTCATTTCTTAATCTATTAATTCTCTCCTCTCACTTCTCATTATTTACTCTAGCTAGTTCAACATTATTCACTTTCGTTCCACTATATCTGAATCAAGATCTTAACGGGATTGTAGAGTATCTTTCCCCTATGCCACGGTGACATTAGCTACCCAGCCAATGCAGTACAGAGGAAATACAAAGTCGATCTGACCACACACACGCTACAGTCACTACTTGGCTAATGTTGTACTAAGAAAATACAAGGTTTACCTGGCCATTGGCGCGTTCTAGGTCATCGAAGACAATATATATCTGTTCCAGGAGTGTGGGCTTGAGAGGCAGCTGAGACTCTGCCCCCGTCCATTCACACGCCATCCGACCCACGATCTGAAGAGAGAAAACCATAAGTTATCACAGACTGTTAATTCATCCTTACTTCTAGTAGTGCATTAACTGTAACAGGTAATATGGAACGAATTAAATGTGTGGTTACTAATAAGGGATCAACCTAACCAACATGACCTTTTAATAATGATAAATATAATAGTAATACCCTTGTTTCCAACGTATACATCCACATGCGTCATAAAACTACAAAGTAACATCAGAAATGATAACATTCCAATAATAACTACAGAGCAAAACATTAAATCTTGCCTATTTGAATCTCTTAAATATAATAGTATTGTACTGTAAAGTGTAGTCACTAAAGGGACACTATAAACAGATGCAGTGTGAATTTTTACTGAAGATGGAGGATGAAACTTGTATCACCTTGGTATAAGATATTATTTATGAGGAAATACCTAAGTATTAAATTCATCCATGTAACATTGAAAGCCACAGGAAATATTGCCACTAACAGGATTCAGGGCTAATGCAATTATTAAGAGTTTATCAAAGACTATACAGTATATTACTCACCTCGACGTAGAGTGGGAGGGGACAGTCCTGGATGTTCTTACTGACCAACTCCCGCTGTTCTTTGTTGACGCTACGGTGGTGCTGCTTCAGGATGCCCTCAAACTTGTTGTAGCCCTCGTCGATAGTGAGCGGCGGGATCTGAGGGAAGAAAACGGCCCAGTCTCATTCTCACTGTTATTGTTGTAATCTCACACTCTCTTGGCATACGAGAAACTCACCACCATTACTGTCACTTGTACATTTATTAACTCCACCACTATTTTACATATATAGGGTACATTATGTCTGCTGTGTGAGATGACCAGTGTGTGTAGGTGTTGTGTATTTGTCTGCTTACCTTGAGGAAGCAGGCGCGGTCCTCGATGATGCTCTGGAGAAGAGACATCTGGGGGGAGTCGTCCCTCACCGTCATAATGAGCTTGACGTGCTCGGGCAGCTCGCTGGGCACCCACTCCAGTGACGTCGACCCGTAGCTCTTGACCTGGTCGATTCCGTCGATCATGATCACCAGAGGTCGCAATTTACATGCCTTTGACCACACGTGCATCAGGAAGGCCGACATATGGCGCACACCCTACACACATACAATCATAGTTCAGTTAAGACGAAGTGATAGGATTTCGGCTACAATATAAACCTGGTCAAACCGGAAAGTTAAAACATCACCTCAAATAGCCCTCCACAACAAATTTAATATGATCTTTAAAAACAGACAGTGGAATATAACCACCAGTTACTCAGTGGCCATGATCTTAATCATGAAAAATTACCATCAAGCAGAAATTCCTATATTTTCATGTAACTATGACGTTATTTGAGTGTGCTCACCTTGGCCGCCTCAGCTCGGTGTTCGCCAAAGAGGGCGCAGCACTGCTCAGCGATGGAGCGGAGAACTTGCTCGGTGGTGGACGAACCTGGGGTCAACCCCACGAACCTGTCGACCCAACGAAAAAAGAACATATTTAGCAGCATCTTGGATTTTTTTTTTTTTTTTTACTAAATTCAAAGGTGTGCAAAAACGTATGATTCGCCTAATATATCAGTTCAGGGGTTCAAAATTTGGCCAATACTGTTTGTGGAGGTTGTGTGTAAAGGTGACGATTGAGTTGTGTACAAAGGCCCAAAAATAAATGCCATGGCAACTCTGAGCCCCAAAGCTGACCATCTAAACAGTATTAATGAATCACCTTAAAATTTCTGAAGCTGGCATGGCATGGAATTTTTAACCCACAACACAGCCAATTCACAACCCCAACACAACCATCTTGAATACCATATAAGATCAGCCGGACACCCTGTACTCACCTGACCACGAGGGGCACGTCGACCAGCCACTCGCAGCACCTCTCCATGGCCTTGGCGATGAGTGAGGACTTCCCGCACCCCACCTCCCCGTGCATGATGAGCGGCACACATGAGTCGTTGTTCAGGTACCTGTGGCATACAACCACCAACACTCTCAGTACTTTTTCATCAGCTAACATAATCACCTATTACACCTTCACCTATTCTATGGTAGTCACCAGTTACACCTTCCCCTGTTATATCAAGTCACCTGTTACACTTTCACCTACTTTATCAATATCGAAATAAACTAAATGTCTCTCTCCTTTGATCGTACTTCTTGTCATTTTAATACCTGCACATATGCATAAATTTCACAATCCCGATACTTTTTCTGAAAGGAACTGACCTCCTGATCTTGGTAAGTATCTCCTGGCGGCCTTGGAAGTTCTTGTAACGGAACTGGCACATGAGGGACTGTTGCATCAGTTCGTGGAACAGTCGCTTCTCGATTCCCAAGTACGTCTTCAGCTCCTCCTGTGGTGATCAATGTTGGGTAATGCTTCATGTGATAAATGATCGTGAAAGTTATACAGTTTTCTAGGTAGGAAAATGCTACTTGAGATTGTGACCTCAAGTGTATTAAAATCTATACACGAGGTCACTGTGACCACACAAACCTCAGCAGCCTTACCTTAGTTTCGTCCTCTTCTATGATGCCGTCGATAATGGAGATAAGGAGCGGGGAGATCTGGGCACACAGGTCCTCCACGAACTGGGCGTGTTCGGGCACCTCGGGGTTCATGCCAGAGTTATGCCACTTGACGCGGAATTTGAGCATTCTAATTTCATCCAGCCGCTCCTGTCATCCCGGGGAACACAGGTAGTGATGATGCAAATGGTAGAGGTACAGTAGCATTCTTCACTCACACACAATACTTATTGAAATACATACACATATGGTTTCCCTCTCCCTCACACCACATATCCTTACCTTCAGTTCACTCTGTAGGATATCAAGTCGCTTTTTACTCTCGGGTTCGACAGCGACGTAGACCTTGCCCTGCGCGGGGATGTTGTGGGAGGGGAAGTGGGTGAATTTCCTGCAGATCCAGAGGCAATGCTTGGCGCTCTCCTGGTTCATGAACACGCTCTGCTTGATCTCCTGAGGCCGCCGCAGGTCCAAGGGGAGATTTTCATTGGTTAGTAACAGGCAGGTGGCATCCGAAAAGGAAGGGGAGGAACTATGGAGGGGATGAAATGTATTGGTTTAATGGTACTGTTGGGCTTAAGGAGAACACGGGAGGATAAACAATGGCTTATGTAAGGTAAAAAGGGAATTGTGCCATGATCAATAAGCTGAGGAGATATAGAAAGAATATCAAATGTTTAGAGAGAGAGAGAGAGAGAGAGAGAGAGAGAGAGAGAGAGAGAGAGAGAGAGAGAGAGAGAGAGAGACATGTTTCCCACAGTTCATGAGTCACTAGTGGGGTCTCTGGCTCTTAAACAATATAATGCGAGTCGTCATTGCATATAACAGCATACAACTACACATGTGTCCTTCCTCTTCAACAACAGAGGAAAGTTAACTGATACATTACTCTTATAGACACCAGCAGACAGTAGAAATGTAGTTCAAATTGGGACTGAATAAAAGAAAAAAAATGAATAAAGGTAATAAAAATAATGTATCTTTTTATATTAATAGTAACACAGAGGGAAATTAGTCTACGCATATAATTTTCGTTTCAGGAAATTAACCGGGGAATCACATACGCATACTATTCCTCAGCTTCAAGAGGCTGTTACACCTCTTTGACGATAATGTGCGCTGGTTAAATCACTGATGGCCACGAGGAACGGCAGAGTGCGATAATAATATAAGGGTAAACTGTAGGTTATGAGCCACTGACCCAAAATAAGCATCGCTGGTGGATACTGTGACAAGGTTTAAGTCTCTGTAGCCTCTGGTGTTTCAAGGTCTTTCCTGATATCTAAGTTTTGATACTCTAAAGTCTAAACCTGTCATTAGTATTATCCATGTATATTATCTACACCTTGAGAGTATAAACCTATTTGATATTCTCTTATTTCTAAATTTCTAATGAGAAATATGTGAACAGATGGGATAAATAAGATATACCCCAAATATACCACCTGCTTCATGACCCACTCACCTACACCACGACCCACTCACCTACACCATGACCCACCCACCTACACCACGACCCACTCATCTACACCACGACCCACCCACCTACACCACGACCCACTCACCTACACCATGACCCACCCACCTACACCACGACCCACTCATCTACAATTCATGACCCACCCAATCTACACACGACCCACCTCACCTACACCACGACCCACTCATTCCACACCACGACCCACCCACCCACACCACGACCCACCTATCTACATTCATGACTCATCTCCTCCACCTACACCACGACCCACCATCTACACCATCTACGACCCACTCACCTACACCATGACCCACCCACCTACACCACGACCCACTCATCTACACCACGACCCACTCACCTACACCACGACCCACCTACCTGCACCACGACCCACCCACCTACACCACGACCCACTCATCTACACCATGACCCACCCACCTGCTCCATGACGGTAGAGAGGTACTTCTCCTTCTGCTCCTGGTTGAACACCATTCTCATGAGGGTCATCATCTTCTTGACCTCGTTGCTCCAATCCTGTACGGCTTCCTGGTGCAGGCTGGCACTGTTACTGTCCTGTAGAAGGGAGGATGATGGTAGTTGTGGTGGTCGTGTGGGGAAACATTTCTCACCCAGATGGTCTTAGAATCAGATATGGACTAGTTAATTATGCAAAATCATATCGAATATTGATCAACATATACTAAACGTATTTGATTGTTTATTCGATACTTTATGGCAGCATATTAACTCACTATGTTTACCTATTAAACATACTACAGGTATATTAGCCAATTAATACACTATGGTTGCCTAATAAACACAGTATTATACCCTATTAATGATAGCCACACTGCTACCGTATCCGTATTAACACTATTGGTCTTCTTAACCCGCTATTTTAGACCTAAGTTGCAAAGTTGTTCATAGATCTTGATAACTTTGCACATTTAAGAGGTAAAAGTGTTGATATCTGTGATGCTGGCGGTTCAACTAACAGGGATATTAAGCACCATTCGCTAGGTCTTAATTTCTACAATATAAAACTTCAGACGTGATGATGTAGAAGTCACTAGGTCAAATAATTGAATAGCAAGACGTACACGTAATTATTATCGATACTGTTGACTCATAGTTGGATAAATGCTTGGCAGTGAAAGAAGCGTAGTGGTGGTGTAAAAGAAATTTAATTTGTTTGAAGATATTTATTTATATCATTAACTTTTTGGGTAGTGGTGATATTGGGATGTTTGAGTGTAGTGGTGATACTGGGATGTTTAAGAGTAGTGGTGATACTGGGATGTTTGAGAGTAGTGGTGATACTGGGATGTTTGAGAGTAGTGGTGATACTGGGATGTTTGAAAGTAGTGGTGATACTGGGATGTTTGAGTGTAGTGGTGATACTGGGGGATGTTCGTGTGTAGTGGTGATACTGGGATGTTTGAGAGTAGTGGTGATATTGGGGGATGTTTGAGGGTGGTGGAGGGACCAGGGGTCACACCTTGATATTGGGAATGAAAGTACTAATGGGCTGGAGCTTGTAGCAGGGAGGCTGGGCGTTCTCATCCCAGTGGTACCATTTCCAGAACAGTTCGCGGTCAGTGTCCAGCTCCATGGCAGAGATGGCCTGGTCGAAGTCCGGGCCTTCGATCACTCGCGGTAGGAGGGCGTTGCCGAAGGTCTCGTTGAGGAACACCACCGTCACGATGTGGGAGTCTCGGGCCTGAGCTACAAAGACACACAAACATACACGGTGGCGATAATATCAAACCCTCAACCTGAATAACGGAACTAAACCAGACTTCATACACCTAGCAGTACACACATAACGTTTAATATACACAATAATAAAAATATCAATAATGAAACAACAGGGGTCTAGGGTCCCGTCGCCATAAACAGACAGTTCATTAACAACAACAAATACTGATTATGGAATGAGTTATGCCTACACACCGAGATTAAACCATAAACATTTTTATCTTGTCCTACATACTCACATTTAAACCAATGGACGGGTGATTTTCCTACATCCCAGCCTGACACAATAATAAATCTTACTTGTTAGATGTCCGAGGCAGAGTTCCTTGAAGGAGTGGTCGTTGATATGTTCGTCTGGTATCCCCCAGTGCAGGTCCACTATGTTCAGCTCGTAACCCTTCTCCATGCAGTAGAGGCGTAGTTTAGGGTACACGTGTTCCATTAGTGCAGACCTCTCCATAATAGTGTCTGTGGAACACACGCATCAGTGTAAACAACTCGCCACCATAATCTGCTAGTTAGGTAAATTAAAGTCAGGAATTATTAATTACATCAAGTATTTTTTCTTATAAAACAAATACGCATTTTAAAATTTATTGTGATAATTAAAATCTCGTTTTCAGGCTACAAAATAAATGACTGACATCAGATTTTCACTTCTAGGGAATTTTGAAATAATAAGCTTAGTTCTCGTCTGTGGCTGAATAAAAAACTTACCTGTAATTTTGCACAAATGTTGACGACAATCCCTGTGTCCCATAACTTTTATGTTACACAGGTGAAGTTAATGTAGGTTATGCAGAGTTCGGTTTATATGTTTGAACAAAATAAAATAAATTACTATTTTAGCTGCTATACTCCGGACAGTTCTTTTGACGTCTACCTTCTTGAATACAAACCTGGAAGCTGGGAGGCGCCGGCGAGAACGGCAGTGACCTTTTAAATTTTAATTTTGATTATGTAATTAATGTAAAGGTCAAGTAAATGGTTGCTTTTTAAAGCAAAAAAATCTTAATAATCAACAAGCGCATTTCTAATAACTTTGGATCACATAAATGACGCGGATGTGCGACCTAGAAATTGCCAATTATTTATTTTGGAAAAACTAATATAGCCAGTGTTCGTCACAGAAGAGACTTATAATTATTTCTGAGGTCAGTCGAAGTCTTTGGTGAGAGTTTACTCGGTGGTTTACTTTGATAACGAAGAAACACAGGTGAAGCCTCGTCCTGTGAGAAGGATTGCCACAGCCACCTTGTTGACAGGTATGAAGAATTAGATAAAGTAATTTTACTTTGCTCACTGTAAACCATGGAACTTTGTCTCAGCTTTAATATTACGATGTGTCTAAATTTGAATTATGTAGCTTAGCTAACTGAAGACGGTAACGTGCCATAATTTATTTCTGATAAAACTGGGCAGGTCGCCATCTTTTACTGCCACTTGTGCTACTCCCGTCAAATTATTACTTCAATCAGTAATGGCAGAAGGACCCGTGCTTATTTTAGAGATTTCTTAGGAATTTTGCCAGAATCTTCTTGTTACTGTTTATTATCGAAAAAAATATATTTATGTATAATGCATTTTTAGATTAATCCTGTTAGTAGAAAGGACTCGGTAAATATTTGAAGTTGTCAACACCTACATATACTGTATATTGAGCACATTATAGGAGAAAGAGAAAACTGTAAATAACTTATTCTATAGCGTTTCCGCCGGGAAAACAAACCACTTTGATGAACACATTCATAAAGATAGGAAAACATACCTTTTAGATCGGCACAGGTGTAGATGCAGATCTTCCTTGGCTTAAGGATGGGCCTCACGAACACCACGTTGCCCATCACCAGGTTACGGATGACGTCGGAGAGCTTGTTCAAATCTGGCAGGTGACCCAGGTTGGGAATCGCCCCGCGGGACTTGCGTGGCGATTCCTTGACATCGGGCGGGGCCGAGTTCTCCATATGGGCCAGGCCTGCCGGTTTAAGGAACAAGTTTTCATACAGTTGTAACTGATGTTGGTACAAATAACTAGGGTGATCGTTACCGGTACCTTATTAAACCCAGATCAATTAATGAATTCACGATGTCTCCAACCTTGTCTTAATAAACTATCGTACCTCCACTAACCTGTTCATTTACTGGACGTCAATTTTAATATTTGGTTCAGCTAACACCAGATTATGTTATTCAGCATAGAGAGAGCCCTCGTATCCATGGGGTTAAAAATATACGATTACTTACTGAAATAACGATTTTCTAGACCAAGTATGGGCCACAAATACTTCATTGCCTATTACTCCTGTTTGTATATTTAAAAAAAAAAGTTATAATTCCATTTTTATTTTGGGACACGTTAAGAAAATTTGAGTAACGTTGTGATGACCGTGAGCGAAAATGATGTGGGGAGGAGAGTAAGTGAGGAAGGGGAGACATGAGGTTGCCCGGGCTATGTAGGTGGAGCGGGTAAGCTGATGGATCCGCCCTCAACACACCTCCATCACTAATGATATATCCTCCAAGGCTTCCAGCACCTCAGCACTCACCTCCTCACTCCGTTATCCTCAGCTGGAAGGAATACACTCAGTCATCTCAACTTAGAAACGGTGAAAAATATCGTTACTGAGCTCTGTATTCCACCCACTAGTCGCTTCCTCATATCTATTCTCGCCAGCAGGAAGAAATGTTAAAAATATCGTTTACCGAGACGTCTATTCCGCCGAACACGCACCACCTCGCTGTGACTTAACTAGGTACACCATGAGAATAATACATGTGATATTGATGTCCGGAGGTACAGTATATATACCACCACAACCAACGCCTCATCTCCACGTGTTCAAGTTCTCACCAATAGGAAATACGAAAAGTGATAAAACAAACGTTGATTATTTATTAAGATGTTTTTAGTATAATGGCTAAGGTAACTGCCCAAGAAAATTAATATTTGGTATGTCAACTTATATGGGTACGGTATATGTTTTGTATATAAAAGATGATCGGTTTTCTCATGGTACACTTTCCCTCTGACATTTCTCACGACTAACCTTCTGGGGACATTTTCCTCTTGACCAGTTATGTCACAAGCATCTTTTGTGTGACTTCATTACAACTGCCCCATTATCCCTTTCACTGTGACTTGGTGATGACCACCTTTTTCATGGCTTTCTACAATGACGGAATCCCTAACCAAGCTCTCTATGACAACTTCCTCGTGAATCAGTTCAATCACAAGTGTCTCTTGACACCTGTAACAAACTCCCCCGTAAACCACGATGGACACTCATGACACTTTCCTCAACACCAACTTCCCCGTAACCAAATCCTCATGACCCTGTATCTAACACACCTTTCTCATGGTATTCTCATAACGTCAGGAGCCCTTTCTTATGACAACTTCCTCCATGTGTGAGACTGTGGGAGGGGAGGTGTATAACATGAAGGAACACACCGGTTGGTTCCCTGTTGCTGGAAGGTTTTTTGTCATGTCATTAATGTACAGGTTCTCCAGATATTGGACGGGTGGGGATTATTGATGAAGTGTATTGTGGGCCTTCCATTGTTATCTGGGTTGGTGTGTAATGTAAATATTCTTTTTTGTTTGTTCGTTGTCTCGCTGTCTTGAGAGAGAGAGAGTGAACATTGTATGAGGCGACCTTATTTACAGTGATGTTATTACCGTTTCTGTTTATCCTTCATTATTTAGTCCCGTTCACCCTCCTTGTTATATTCTTATCCTGTTCCTCATCTTTAACCCTCTCGTCCCTCCCATCCTTCCTCCAGCCTTCGTGGTAGGTAGTGTTCTTTCCCCCTTGCTCCTCATCTTTCATCCTGTCGCCCCTGCCGTCCATCCCTTCATTTATCTAATTATAGTAAGTGCGACCCTGCGTTACTCTTCCTCTGGCCTGGCTAACATTTTTGGCGGCGTGTAGCCTAGTCTAGTCAACCCAATATCCGCCTTACTGGACCTGAGTGGTGGATGTGTTTGGCGTTTGATGGATTATTATTATTTTTTTTTTATTTTTTTTTTTTAGAGTGGCATAACTGAGTTCTGGTTCACCTTTGTTTGTATTTTTACAGCTGTATATAAGGGTAAGTTGGTAGTTTAAGATTCAGCATCTGTTCATTAGCCAGGATGAATATTTACTCCCTAGTCTTCAACTCGTATTTTCCAATTAAGTTTTGGCTTCATTTAGTTAACCTATTTCGAGGATCACGTGAAGTTTAGGCACCCCAGTTTATTTCACCTTAAGATTAACCACCCTGAACCTAACCTAACTAAACCTAACCCAACTCCCTTGTTTAATCATGAGGTGAAATGAGCTGGAGTGCCTTACTTCATGTGATTCCATACCTTGCCTGTCCTGACCTGACTGGTGGAATTTGTTTTAGAATACCCTTAGTTTAGTTATTTTTCACACTGTTTTGAATCCAAGGATGAGTATATTTGCCTCTCCCAGACTTTGAGAAACAAGGTCACCACCAGAGCTGTTACCGCAAGTAATGTCTAAAATATTGTTTGGACCTGAAATGAAGTTAATAGCATTGTGAGAAGGCACACGGTCACTCCAGTATGTTGTGTCCTAGAATAAAGCTCTCATTGGTCTTGTTAAGGTGACCAGTGTCGAGGCTACAAGGAATGCTATACTGTACTACTGGTGGGTTAGTCAAGGAAAGTCACGTGGACACATTCTTACATATCAATCATTGATTTCCAAAGATTTCTTAACATTGCGCCTGCACTCCTGGTGTGTATTATACAACCCCGTGCTTCCTGTACACTATATACCTCAAGACGTTGCAAGTTGTGGATGATTCTAATGTTTCTGAAGAAAACAAAATCAGAAGTTATAGCTAATACAAATGTTCAGCGACAAACCAATTAATTTTTTGTTTTATTATTTAGTTTTTGTTTTCACAGGTATCGCCTACATATATACAACAGAAGGCGCCGTGTGTGGCAAGGTTTATTGAGACCAAACTCAACATCTGGATTCAACGTACTGGTGCCAAAAAGCTTTTGTTCTTAAATTTCTGTGGCACCCTGTACTACCTTCCTGCTGCATAGATTTTTTTGGCAGAATCTGTAGCAAAAATTTAGATACATTTGTCTTTCGATTACATGTGTTGTAATTTAACAACTTTCGGAGACGTCTAGACAAATAATTAGGCTACTGTATTGCAAATTCTGAAGGTTGTTCATAATGTAAATTTGGGATGCGTTTACCTTTCATTTATGTAAGATGTGTTGACGCCCTTAGCCCCCTTCCCTCCCCCATGTTACTCGATAAAAGGGGAAACTACAGTATAATTTCATCTTCCTGGTCTCACCTTTGAATTAAATGAACTAAACCATTCACGCTAGTCTCATAATAGTCCGCCATTGCAGGTAGAAGGTGGACGGACGTTCGGCTGGTGTAGCGAGAACAAAGTGCCTTGATGATTGATGTCACAGGAAAGGCCAAGACGAGGATTCACAATTGGTCGTGCAGTGAAATCGGATTACGTGAAGTTTAGGCACCCTGACTTATCTCACCTTAAGAATAAACAACCTAACGGTATCCTAACTTTATGGTTGTTAAGCTTAAGGTGAAATAAGCTGGGGTGCCTTATCATCAGGTGAGTCAAGAATCTCTAGTGTACGGTAATTTTGTTTTCTAACTGGTGTTATTAACGAATACATTACATTAAAGACAGGTGTTTTTGTTGTTATATTTGTGTTTAGTTCACGTTAAATATGTTGATTATTACATTGTCGAGACCGAGGCCACCCCCACCCACCCACCCAAATTGATTTAGGGGTGGTCAGGTTGGGGGGGGGGGACGAACACTTGGTTGACTATCATCGGCTAAAATTATGAAAGGTCTCGCCCGTGGTTTCGGTCTCGAATTAATAAGAACCTTTGTGAATCCGACACCCAGGTGCTGTTGACTACCCATGCTTGTATTTTGCTTAGATAGTGGCTCTGAGAGGGTGCAAGGTGGGGTGTGGCTTTGGGAGGGTGCAAGGTGGGGTGTGGCTCTGGGAGGGTACAAGGTAGGGTGTGACTCTGGGAGGGTGCAAGGTGAGGTGTGGCTCTAGGTGGATGTAACATTATACCGAAGTATTGATGATGATAGAGGGGTAGATAGGTGATGTGGGCAAGAGTAAGGGGCGACGCCGTTCCTGGTGAATGACCCACCTAGTGACCTGGCCATGCCCACCAGCAGGAGAGAGGGAGCCTGTAGCCCCGAGCACACAGACTGGCGGGTCCTCCGACGCCGGCTACGACGAAGAAAGTTAAGGAGTCTCTGGAGGTCAAGGTCATCAAGAGACGGCATGGTGGAGGTGCTGAAGTTGCTGTTGGCTTGGTGATGCTGATGCTAGTGGACTGATACGTGAGCTGGTCGGGTGATGCTGCTGGTTTGCTTATTCTGGGTTGTGGTGTCAAGGGCAGACGAGACGGTGGTGGTTGGAATGATATTCAGACTTGTATTTAGTATCGTGGTATGGACGGGTCATGGCAGGGTTAGGTGGTGGACAGTACGCTGCTTGGTGTGCATGTGGTGGTTCCTATTATCATGGCGGTAAGTCTTGGGAGCTCGCCTCATAGTTTTTTCTGACAGTCGCAAATCCGCGCGTCTTCATCGTTTTTCCCACGAAATTGTTAAGACAGCTTTCATGGTTAAATATGTTGCATGTCAAATGTCGATTGTTGGTTGAGGTTTATAACTCGATAGGTGTTTGGGTAGTGTTGTGTGGTAGAGGTCGTTCATAACACATTCGGGAAACGTGTTGCGTGTGTGTCGAAGGCGGAGAGTGGCGCCTGGGTCGAGTGAGGAGGACGTAGTGGTTGTAAGCATTGAATGGGGAGGGTTACCACAGGGGGATAACGACGCAGGGGTGACGTGTTGGAGAGGGCACTCACACCGCCAACCTGAGGTGGCTCCTAGGTGCGCCTTGCTGTCGTGCCATCCTAATAAATTACTGCTTTGTACTGCGTTCTGTGGAAATCGCTTGTGCAGATATTGACATATATTGTGTAAATCAATGTTACAGTTATTCAGTGATAGAAAAGTATGGAGATGATCACATGCCCATACTTCTTGTTAATTTAAAACTGAAGAGTATCAATGTTAGTTACCAGCATCAGAGATCATGACACATCAGTCGGCCCAATTACAAGAGGAGCAAGATGTCTTACACATAAACTGTCGTGTAAGTCTTCACGCAATCACAGTGACCAAATTTCACACGCCATCTTGTTACACTACACTGGGTGCATTTTTCGTCCCCCTTAGCTCCACATATTCTAAATATATCAAGTCTCAACTTGGTTTTTATGTTGGGTAGAGTCCTGTCAAGGAGTATTGTGAAAGTGACACTCGCAGGGACGCCCCAAGGGGTAACGTCAATATGTGCGTCCTGTAGCTCTATACACTCAATTATGTAGTCACCATCGCTTCTCGGGGGTGTCAGAGATGTGCACACAGCACTCACAACTTTCTCCTGGTACAAGAGGATGAGGAAGGCGTAGATGTTATCAGGAGGTGAAGAGAGTAAAGGTGTTGGTGATAGGGCGCAGGGAACCTCTACAAGGGGTGGTACTCGCACTACACATTCCTCACATCGACTGGCCACTCTCCTTCCCTTGCCACCCGCGCTTCACCACACACACACATTATCGTAATTCGAAGCATTTCACCTGGTGTAGCCACCTGTCGAGTTGAAGGCAGCTCTCACTCCCAGTCTGCACCAGTGGACTGTACCATGCACTACGAGTGCAGGAAGTCAACACCTCAGTGTTTTTTGGCAACGGTTTGTCAAATGTCAAGTGTGAGTTGATTCGTGTGGTGCATTATTGGGAGGGATGACGTCACAGGCGACCAGCTGGGGACGTCAGGGAGGGAGGGAGGTCAGCGACTGCTCTTAAGACACCACACGCCACTCCTCCCATCCACCCACACACACAGACATATGTATTTAAATTAATACAATATACTGTTGTCTAGTTGTGTGACGTAAAACTAATATATACCGTATCCATTTAGTCATATCTGTAGAGGAATTGTGCACTTGTTATACCCTTAATATTTTTTTTCTAGCGTAAAGTAAATGCAGGACTAGGGGTCGTGTTAGCTGAGTTGATGATAACACTAGCCTCTTGACCTAAAAGTCGTCTCTGAGAGCTACCCCCAGTCGACCCAGCTTGGGATCAGCAATAGAGGTTTAAACATGGGGCCCCGACATACTGATTTCCAACCCTCCACGCTTAAACCTTGGCGCCACAGTATTGCACTAGTCCGCCACGCTTCAAAATTCACAAAATCATTGAAATTTTATGTTTGTGAATTTTGTTAGATTTGTGTTAAAAACGATAATGACTTTTAGGTAATACCACTGTTAATAACCAGTTAAAAGCTGTCATGTTTTATGTTCGTTATATACTGTAGGAATAGATATTTAATTGATCACATTTACAGAGGCTCCACCATCGCATGATACTCCACACCAGATTCTACCAGTCTTGTGTGGTGACCCCTGACGTGCCAGGCCTCCCTCTGTCAGGAATCACGAGGTAAGTCACGCTTGTGTGCAGGGGTTTATGCCTGCACGTACTCTATTTCTTGACATGTATGCTTTGAATTTGGTGTACGGTTCTTGTTTGATTTTTATAGACAACTTTTACATATACAGTACAGTGCAGTATCTGTATACTGTATGCTATATCATTAATTTACGAGTTGTCTGTTATTTTTTTAATATGTCGTGTTTGTGTGTGCATATACTGTACAGAATATGCATGTATTCTTTTATTAACAGGTTTTCCTGTGTTTTATCCTGCGTGTTTGTATTTCATTTTCATGTATATAATAATAATTACGGTATTTGTATACCTGTATATACATAATATTTTACTTGTGTACTGTACTTGCTGCCATATTTACTGTATGTCGTCTCACTTGTATCGTTCCTTTGAAACTGTAAGTGTTGGACATTTTTGGCGGCAGATATCTTGTCACCATTATTGCTGGTACACTACAGTTACCAACCCTTAAACTAACTGTAGATACCAGATGTCTAAAATATAATATATCACAGTAATTGTAAGGTCACTAAATTGAATGTCAAGGTCATTGTTTTTAGTTCATGTCTTTAATGGGAGTTTCCTTTTACAGGCATGAGCAGGTTCTGATTCCACTGTACCATGAATAAAGTATATCTGATAAGTTAAATATATATAATGTACAGTACCCATCCATATAGGTACTGAGCACATCTGTATTCCTTCTCCACTATGAGTCGTTATTTAGAGTTTGTTCCGTTTGTGGAGTGATTTATCGGTGTTCATTACATTATGCCTAAGACTCGTTGATTTCCAGCCTCCATAGAGTCAACATAGATGGTTTGAAATAAGTTTAACCAGTGTAATGTTGTTGGCTAATTGACTGTTGTGGTGCTAAGATTGGCAGTTAGTGATAAGCTTTGGGTTGTTGTGTTGGTAATTGTATGCTATCACACTAGGATTAAGCTTAACTAGGTTGTGTTAATAAATGATGCTGTGATACCAGGATTAAGCTTAACTAGGTTGTGTTAGTAATTGCAAGCTATGACACCAGGATTGAGGGTGATAAGCTTAAACCAGCATTGTAAGGAAGGAGAGAATCATTGATCTGCAGGGAGTTGACTTACCTGTTGCAGGCGGTGTATATCATTAGCACCTGCAACAAGTGGCTCTCACTACCGCCATAACTAATAGTTCCCCCGTGCTCTCTAGTGATTTTCTTTTGGTCTGAGTGTAGAGAGGGAAGGAGGGAGGGGGAGAGAGTTTAAGGTTAAGCTTGTGCCCGTGTTTATCTAAGTTTATATGTGCGTATGTTTGTGCTCGTGGGTGGGTGGGTAGGTGTGAGCTTGTATGTATATGTGTGTGTGGGTGTGTGTGTATTTTGGAGGATAGAAAAGGTGTAACTCTGGAATAGACTACTGTACGTGTTAAAAGGCATTTCTCAGATAACGTTCCCCATAACTAGCCACGGAAACGGTTATTTCGCTCATCACCATTACTCGAAATCATATACTATAATAAACTTGATGAAAAAAATCGTTTGTGGGTACCCGGTCGACCCTTTTGTGACTAGGCGACCCAGATAGAAATAATCTCAACTCTGGGTCGCTGTCTCTTGGGGTACTCTTTCAGGGAGGTCCACGAGGATTCTTAACAACAATATTTGGGAATGTCTCAGTCTAACGTGCTTGCTTGAGTGTAATTCTACCCATACAGATAGTTATATAATTTAGTTTATTAATATGCTTGAATATTTGTTGGGGTTTGTCAGTCAGAATATGGCGTTCTGCTTGTTGGTGTTATGGCTATGTTAAAATATAGGATTGGCGCCTCGTATAGGATGATGTGTCTCACCTGCGTCGCCAGTGTTGGAAACGCCGTCGTTGTCGCCCATCTTAACGGAGAGTGGGAGGCGGGCGGCCTGCCTGTTGGTCCCACCACCCTTCTCCGACAGGCAGCTCTCCGTGTCGTAGCTGCGGTCATCAGTCGATGAGCTGACGGGCCGCGCCAGGGTGGGGGTGACGGCCCGTGTGTGCTGCGAGCTGACCCTGCAACAACAACACACACACACGTATGTTAGCAACCGGGAAAAGCATGGGGGAGAGATTACAGGGTGAAGGCATAAGGGAGGAATACATTAGGGTATAAGAGATGTAGTGTGTGGGTGGTGAATAAAGGGGTAAACTTGGGGACAGGAAGGAGGGGGAACTCGAGGAAGTGGGAATATATGGGATAACAGATAACATCGCCATAGGCCATCATGCCCTCTGTTATGTGCTAGAGGATAATATTAATAACCGTAAGATTTTTGCTCTAAAAAGATGAGAATATGTTTTAGGAAAGGTCTGTGATGGTAAAGAAGGTATACATACATACATACATACATACATACATTACATTACTCTGCCCAGGGTTGACTTCATCAATACGAGCAGTCAACAAGCGCGTCTTCCCCCAAAAGAATTCTTCAATTTTTTGGACAGTTCCTTTTCTTTTTACCTCAACTACACTAGCAGAGTGAAGAACAGTAGGTGGTGGTGGTGAGGGAGACGCTGTGCTTCTGGTAACCTGACACTCCCTTATTAAGGCTCCACACCTGTCACTGCCAAGAGTCGCTTCCCCGTCTCTCGTTGTTTGTGTTTTACCTCCAATTACGCTGCTGTAATCACTTCACCTTGTGGATGGCTGCAGTGGAAGTGTCCCTGAGTATATTTGTTGGTGTTTCTTGCTCACATGTAAATATTTTTTATGCTTCTAATCATTATTACGTTTTTGTGTGTACTTGATACCACGGAATAGCTCTCGCTTGCACCCAAACCAAGCGTCAGGAAATATGACTGGATACTGAAGACGTCGCGGCGACATAAAACAATGGGCGGGATCCGGAACGTCGGAATAGTTGGTCGGCGGCGATAAACACAAGAGAGAACTTCGCTCTTGGCAAATATCATCTTGTGTGTCGCGAGCATTTCATTTCTGGCGTGTAGTCGCGTCTTTTGGTCCATCTGGTCTATTGCTATGGTCGGGCCGTCCGTCGTCCGTAAACTTTTCACATTTTCAACTTCTCAAAAACTACTGGCACAATTTTGCTGAAACTTCCAGAAATATCCTTCTTTCCAAATATTTCTGACGTCAGCGTAAGCCCCTTAAAATGGTTGCCGTGGCTAAAAATAGAAAACAAAATTAAACTTCTTATCCGAGACTACTGTAGTGACCCGGTCTTGCTGGAACTTTGTGAATATAATTATTGTATTAACTACTTTCAAAATTGTTTATTATTGTTTATTATTCCAGATGGACGTTAAGACCTTATTGGCTTTTATTTTTTGCATGAATATTTAACGTTAATTTGTCACGTATGGCTGTTAGTCGCCATCACCATGTTATTTAGTGCCGTGAAGAAGAAAAGGGTGTTCATTTTCCATTGTCACAGGCGAGCACAGTATCGAGTTTTCTGTATTCAGGGAAAAGTGACGATCCCATCCTTTCTGACAGTGTACCATCAGCACTCCACATCACCCCACAGAAAAATATAGAGACTCGTGCAGAACAATGGCAAGAAATAACAAAACTTGCAAGAGTTTGGAATCAGTAAAATACATAGGTTGTGCCTTGTGTGGTTCAGAGGGGATAGTGCGTGCTGTAATGTGGTGGTGCCTGCATTACCTCCACTGGTCAAAGTATTGCTCTGAGAAAGAAGTCTGAATCAATAATACTAATGCAGTAACGTACACACACACACGTTATTTTCCAGGGAAGATTAGATCACTAATTTTGTTGCGTAAAAGTGACATTGTATCAAAAACTCTCAGGAGACTCAATACACTGAACTGGTTTTATTACATTGAACTAGTTGTATTACATTTAGTTGAAGATATGATATTTGTGACCCGCGAGCAGAGACTGATTAAAGAATGCGTCATTCATTCACAAAAAAATAAAAAATAAATAAAAATAGGTAAGGTTTAGAAAGGAAAGATTGATACATCATAAAGAAGTGGGTCAAACTTTTCTCCGTAAACAATGACATGAGATTGGTAGGTGGGGAGTGTTGCCTGCACCTCGGGGAAGAGCACGGCTGGGTCTAATTTTGTTAAGTGAATAGTTGTGTTAGTATGGAGGGTGGCGGGATACCCGTTGGTGGTAGGTGGAGAGGCGGCACCGTTCGCCTCCCCACCCAGTAATGTCTTCCCAGTCCTTCCATACTGTGGTTCACTTTGTGTGCTTATTTGACTGTGCGTTCATTTGAGCCATTGTATGTATGAAGATTAACATGACAGTATGAGTGAGATTTAAATTCGTTCACAACTACACAGATAAAAGAAATTAATAACTCGTGAATGTGCAAATAATTAGTAACTAGTAGGGTGGGTAAGCGCGTGTGTGTGTGTGAATACTACAGGGAGAGGCACGAGTGAATAAATGAGACGAAAGACGACAAAGTAGTCAAGGTTAAATGAATTGTGTTCATCATTGTACCCAGTGGCGTGTGGCGGCTGCTTGTGTGACGACTAACTCGCTCGTGAGAAGGACCAAGCAGGCGATGGGCGTAAGTGGTGTGATATTGAGACCCAGGATGTAGATGAGAGGGAAAATGGGACAGGACTCTGGAGGAAGATTCGAGTTTGGTTCTTCACTTGAAAGGCCACAAGCAACAGGCAGCGAACTATCCACTCAAACGCCCGAGATTGATACATTTGCCAATCAGTGTTCCATCGGCGTCTTTGAGGACTCTGAATCGTGTATCAAAGACAGGTTGAGAAGTCTTAGAATATTAGTAAACCTGTTGGGGTTTTCTGATAAGCTGGTGGGGATATGTTGAGGGCGAGAGAGACTGCAATAAGTATAATCGTTACAATTTACTATGTCTTGCCTATGCATTTATTTAGTAATATTATAGTGTCACTCTTGAATGGCTGTTGCTCGTATCATAAGAGAGTGCCAGTACTGCCAGACGTTGGGGCGATCGTATACGTCACACGTCGTTTCCATAAGCGTGTGTCATTGTCAACTTGAAACGAAATTCAGATGTTGTTGACTGCTGTGTTGGTTCAGTTTTTACGGTAAGGGGACAAAGTGATGTAAGAGGAGGTATGAAGGCACTAATTATAGCTGGAAGAATTCTGATGGCGCTTGTCAACACATACCACTCAGGAAGCTTGGACCATGGACGGGCACTCTGAACTGAACATTCACCTCTGAGAGAAAACAAATTATCCAATCTTGAAAGTGTTGAATAGTGAAAGAAATTTATTTTATTGTGAGAAATTGAGATGATAACATGAAGGGTTAATAAAGTTATCTACCTAACCTACAGTAACTTTAGGGTCTGTGTGGTAATAATAATAAAAGTACTGATAATAATAACAGCAGTGGTAATTCCTTGAAGTTTCATTAGCAGTGTTTAATCTCCATTAGAAATAGTTAACTATATATAATTTATAAGTATTATATAACTCGATAAGTGGCGTTACAGATTCTGGTATTTAAGACAACACTGGAGATACCTACTTCTGCTCCATGGCATAGCTGGGGAAGAGATCGAGGCGTATTAGTTTAGTGTTGTACACTCGTCAACAAAAGTCCTCTCTCTTCACCTGCCTCGTCATGAACCCAGAGATTCGGAGACCCAGGTGAGGCGAGAGGATTTTTGTTGGCGAGTGTACATCACATAAGTAGCAGATATAAAGACTTAGTTCAAATTTACACTTTATGGGTGTTACAAATGATGATGATGATAATGAAAGTGATAGTAAGAGTAGTTCATTTTACCGCCACACCACCCTGTTAAGTACTGTACTGCGGTGTCCCTCGGGACTCATTTAGTTTAAAACTCAGGTTGAAACACGACGACCCTCTTCAAGGGAAGATGTTGTTTAATAATACGGGCGTAACACACACCACCAAAACACACAGGGGGTCGCTTGTCTGACACTACTGGTCCTAATCAATGCTATGTAGTGTTTTTTTATAATTTAATTGCGTATGTCATTAGTCTAAATTATAGTTTTATTGTATTTATAACTGTTGCTGTAGAGGAAGTTATTTAGCAAGGGTGAAGAGGTGAGATGAATTAATTGTAAAATCTTTATCTTTCTGTAATATTTATATCCATTATTGATGTTTTTATTGACTTAATAATTTCTTGGTTTATTTATTAGTATTAATTTATATATTCGTCAAGTATTTATTTATTTATTTATTTATTTATTTATTTATTTATTAGGGTTTCAGTACGTGCAGTGAAAATCCATTGGCTGGGTTAATAAATAAATGGAAAAATTATGTCGATAAGAATGTAGCAAAATGGACAGATTAAAAAGAAGGAAAAGATATTAAGGGAATGAGGTGTTTATTAAATGTTATTTGGTTATGTATTAGTGTTGTGAAGTTGTTAGTGTAATTACCGTAATGCTGTTAACGTCAGAATTACTGTCATTGTAAAACTCTAAAAGTGCTTTTCTTTCTCTCTCTCTCTCTCTCTATCCCACCCTCCCTCCCTTTCTTTCTTTCTTGCTTTTTTTTATTTCATTCTTTATTCTTTCTACTCATTCCCCTTCATTCCCCCTTGTTTTACTTTCTCATGCATGTGTGTTTGTGTGTCTATGTCTCTGTGTGTATATATAAGTGTGTGCATGTACTGTGTGTCTGTGTGTGTGTGTGTGGGTGTGTGTGTGTGTGTGTGTGTGTGTGTGTGGGTGTATGTGTGTGTGGGTGTGTGTGTGTTTCCTCATCCTTGGTCAAGAACACATGCCTGCCTTTTGACATTTGATATTTCTCCATGTTAAATATTTAAGTTGTAATTGCAACATTTAGCAAGGTGCAGGCGGTCTAGCGAAAGGGTTTTATACACATATGAAAGGTCACAGGTCGAAAAAGTCAGGGGGTTAACCTCGTTTAGATTGAGTAACCGAGTGCTGAAAAATGCTTAAGACTAATGTACAGGGTCATCCAAATTGAATACTACCCAGATTTTTTGGTTGACAGTTTTACCAGTTGTCTTCCTCACTTCTGATGCTCCTGTAGGGGGAGGGGAGTGGGGGTCGAGTAGGGGGGGGTGTGTTACTCTCACGGCCACACATGTACAGTACTGGCTTCCTTCCTCCTCTTTTCCTCTTCCTTTCCCATCCCCGGTCCTCCTTCCTCCCCCTCCCCTTTCCTTCGCACCTACCCTTCCCTCAAATAGGAGATAGAAGGAGAAGAGGAGAACAATAGTCCAAGAACCAATAAAACAAAAGAGGAGGAGGAGGAGGTAGCAATACGAAAAACAAAACAAAAAAACAATAAAACAGTAGTAGGGGAAAGGAATGGGGGGAGTTAGGGATTGAGGGAGGGAGGGAGGAAGGGGGAAAGAGGCAAGAGAATTGAGGGGAGGAAAGCAAGTCAGTACTGTACATGTGTGACTGTGAGAGTAACACCCCTACTTGACCCCACACCCTCCCCCACCTGGAGCATCAGAGGTGAGGGATATAATTAGTGAAAAGTGTCGGAAAAACAGGTACAGCGGCCAAATTAGCGGGTGGCTGAAGCAGGAAGTTGATAATTTGGGGGGCCTGGCTGACTGACTGGTTGACTGATTAAATGGCAAGCTGATTGACTAACTGGCTAGGTGACTGACTGACTGGCTTTCTACATAGCTGGCTCACTAACTGATTAACTAATTGACTTGCTGGTTGACTGATTAAAATGACTGGTTAGCTGGCTAAATAAATGACTGACTGACTGGATAACTGACTTAGCTGGCTGGATAACTGACAAAGCTGACTGGGTGGATGGATAACTGGCTAGCTGGCTGGTTGGGTCATCGATGGCCATCATACCCGCCAGGATCGATATCTCGCTTGCACGCCCAATTATCGCCGGACGCACCCGTTATTGGCCGGCCTTTTCCCGCGCCCTCCCTCACACTCGTTTACTTGTAATCTTTACCTAATCTTTACGGCACGGTCACCCGCCCGCTCGATAACGTCACATTTACCCTTTTCATTGAGCGATGGGTATTGACGAAGTGGTGGTAGTAGCGGTGGTGGTGATGGTGGTAGTAGTGGTGGTGGTGATGGTCATAGTTGTGGTGGTGGTGGGTGAAAGCGACGCGGATGACCTGCTTGTGCTATGGTTTAACAAGGTCTCACCTGTTGAAAGCTACCCAACTCTTACTTCTGCCTACGTTGGTATCACGACTTTCGGTAAAGGATCGAATGGGTCCTAATAGACTTTAACCTAACCTGACCTGACCTGACCTGACCTAATTTAGTGTTGATTGGTTTCAGTTCCAATAGGCTCTGACCTTAACTAGCTTAACCTAACTACGTATTAGGATTGAAGCCCATTCCTAGCAAATCTCTCTCCTAATAAGTCGGAACTGTAAGAAGTGAGTTTCATTTTGTACCCTCTGGTCACCTCGTAAATTCCACCACTAATAGATGAAAAATTGAGTTATTCCTGATTTGTACATCTTGTGTGTGTGAAAAAGGTAACAAGTTAACTGATTAGATATGGTTAATGACGAATGAGTCTCGCTTAAAGCTGTACTGTATACATCGTCAGAACACACTTGAAGTCTATGGTGATTGACCTCCGAGTTTCAGTACACTCGTCTTAGCACAGGGTACCTCCCGAACTGTCCTCTGAGGGGTCGTTTAAGGGGTTCAGAGGCTGTTTTTTTTTTTTTTTGCAGTGTGTGTGTGTTTCTGTATGGTCAGGAGATATGTAAAGTGTGTTTCTGTATGGTCAGGAGATATGTAAAGTGTGTTTCTGTATAGTCAGGAGATATGTAAAGTGTGTTTCTGTATGGTCAGGAGATATGTAAAGTGTGTTTCTGTATGGTCAGGAGATATGTGAAGTGTGTTTCTGTATGGTCAGGAGATATGTAAAGTGTGTTTCTGTATGGTCAGGAGATATGTAAAGTGTGTTTCTGTATAGTCAGGAGATATGTAAAGTGTGTATGGTCAGGAGATATGTAAAGTGTGTTTCAGGAGATATGTAAAGTGTGTTTCTGTATGGTAAGGAGATATGTGAAGTGTGTTTCTGTATGGTAAGGAGATATGTAAAGTGTGTTTCTGTATGGTCAGGAGATATGTGAAGTGTGTTTCTGTATGGTAAGGAGATATGTAAAGTGTGTTTCTGCATGGTCAGGAGATATGTAAAGTGTGTTTCTGTATGGTAAGGAGATATGTAAAGTGTGTTTCTGTATGGTCAGGAGATATGTGAAGTGTGTTTCTGTATGGTAAGGAGATATGTAAAGTGTGTTTCTGCATGGTCAGGAGATATGTGAAGTGTGTTTCTGTATGGTAAGGAGATATGTAAAGTGTGTTTCTGTATGGTAAGGAGATATGTAAAGTGTGTTTCTGTATGGTAAGGAGATATGTGAAGTGTGTTTCTGTATGGTAAGGAGATATGTAAAGTGTGTTTCTGTATGGTAAGGAGATATGTGAAGTGTGTTTCTGTATGGTCAGGAGATATGTGAAGTGTGTTTCTGTATGGTAAGGAGATATGTAAAGTGTGTTTCTGCATGGTAAGGAGATATGTAAAGTGTGTTTCTGTATGGTCAGGAGATATGTGAAGAGTGTGTGTATACGAACCATAAACAGTAGTGTGGAGGCCAACATTAAACCCCTGAACATGTACAGAGATTCTGGTGGGATGGGGAGGAGGGCTGTGGCTTTCTAATCCCCAGGAATGGCTTCTTCCCCTTGAGTGCAGTGGATTAACCCGTTGAAATAGATACCTTAACCCCATGAGTATGATGAATTAACCTTTTGTATGAGATATTTTATTCTCATGAGCACGATGACTTAATCCCCTGAGTACAATGGTGTTTTCCCTTGAGTACAGTGAATTAATCTTTTGAATATAATGACTAATCCCCACCCTTTAAGTACGATGGCACTGTACTCAGGGGCTTAATCCATTAGTACTCGAGGGGTTAATGTGAGTGACCCCAAGAGGTTAAGAACAATTATAAGAAGGACCGCTTGTAAACACCACAGCTCTCCCTCACTCGCCCCCTTCACTCACCCCCCATCACTCACATCCCTTCACTCACATCCCTTCACTCACATCCCATCACTCATATCCCTTCACTCACACCCCTTCACTCACACCCCTTCACTCACCCCCTTCACTCACCCCTCACCCTCCACCCTTTTCAGAAATAGTGAATGTCTTTTGAACTCAAGCGGACGGGGTCACGTTAGTACACCGGTCAGTCATTCTCCTATGTAATTTACTCATGACGTATCTCGACACCGGGAAGACCTAGACTGTTCATAGTATATTTATTGACTGATTGACAACCCTGGCTGTATTTTTTTAGGGGGTTTAAAAGGTCAAAGATCAAGGTCACTTTGCTCGGATGCAGTCTAGTCTCATACAGGTTGGTGCACTCCGTCATTCAGGAAACGCTCGCTTTACTGTGTGTGTGTGTGTGTGTGTGTATGTGAGCTGGTGTGGTGTAAACGTGGATCTGCATGACTGGTACTGGTGTTGAGTTACCATCTGGTGTAAATGTGAGGAAAGATCAGTTGACAGGAATACCAAATTCATTGATGGTGAAATATTGACACTCATCAATACTTGGCTTTTTTTATCACCCGATTTGAAGATTAAGAGCATCTAGCAGACAATTTGCGTGCCTGCCTGGACAATAATTGTTTAAATGTCCTCTTTAACTATTAATACAACTTTAATATTTGTTAATGTTTGCTAATGTGAAAGCTATATCCTTTCTAAATTTGGGGCTGATGGACTACATACACCAGTCAGGAATTAGAATAAACGGGACAACGATCAACACTCAGTAGGAGGATTGGTTGTCGCTTCTATCATTCACGTTGTTGCGATAATTACCCTCGGTTGTGGTTGTTGATGAATACTACAACTTTATCCTCAATAGTTACATAATTTGGACTATTATACTCTAGTTTCTGATCTTGTAGTACATATGGTAACTGTGAAGAAAGGTTGACTGTAAGTGAGAGGTAAAAAGTGAGTACAGTAGTTGGAAATGCGTGAAGGGGTGTGAGTGATTCTTCCCGTTGAAGGTCGCACATTGTGTTCTGGCGCCACCAATGACCTCTTATCACATCCTCTCTGCACTCTTACCTCGACCTGTACACACATCCTGCCCTGAGGAGAACACACACACACACACACACACACACACACACACAAAAGACCAATATAACCTAAGTGTACAGGCATCCATCTGGCGCATACACACTGACGCAGCTGCTAAAGTCAATGTGTGTATTTGAGACGTTGTACAACAAACTACTGTACAGAAGTCCTTCCAACCACAGTTTCACGTTGCTGGTTAATCAGAGATGAAATAGCAGCACATACTACAGCACTCGGCCAAGCTACGACCAACCACCTGTCCTAGTTCATGTACACCTAACGAGGCAATTACCGGTCCGACGGGCTATTAGGTCGTTGTCTGGGTGCTGGCCTCGATGGCATCCAATTAGATGCTATGAGCATCCTTTGGATTACTAGCTCCTCCCCCCCTCCCTCCCCCCCTCCCACCCAGCCTCCCACCCAGCCTCCCTCCCTCCCAGCTAACAATACCCCGTCCTTCTTCCCTACTTCCCCCTTCCCTTTATCCTTTCCTCCATCCAACAGTACCCTCACCCTCCCTCTCTAACCAACAGTACCCATACCCTCCCTCTCTAACCAACAGTACCCTCACCCTCCCTCTCTAACCAACAGTACCCACACCCTCCCTCTCTAACCAACAGTACCCACCCTCCCTCTCTAACCAACAGTCACCTCTCTAACCAACAGTACCCACACCTCCCTCTCTAACCAACAGTACCCACACCCTCCCTCTCTAACCAACAGTACCCACACCCTCCCTCTCTAACCAACAGTACCCACACCCTCCCTCTCAAACCAACTCACCTCACTCTTTTGCTAGAATTAATAGTTATATACCTGCTGTAGGCTACGTTGATAACCTAAAAATAATAATTAATTACATCTGGCTGCAGTAGACACGCACCGAGCATTACAATTAATTTCCGGATGATTAGATATTTGTTCGGGTGACTTTTTCGTTGTTTTTATTGCATTTTTTTTTTCAAGGGTGATATATATAAGAGGGTCTAGTGTCTTATGAAAAAAATACTGAATGTCTGAATTATATAACTCGACCTGACCAAAATATAAATGTGTGTAACTTGATCTAAAAAAGTTTCTTTATGGAGAGGTTTGATGAATTCCAGAATGAAAACTATGACTCTTGTTGTCTCGGTAGGGTTGTCAAAATCCTGCGTCTGTTGTGTCATACTGTCTAACACAAAATCTTGACTACAGACTGCCTACAAAAAAAAAGAGGTAAAAGGAATTATATAAACTAATTAAACTCGGTAAAAAAAGTAATCACAAAACAGTAAAGTAGTCAAAATAGTTGTAAATAAAAGTAGTAGTTTAAATTGTTTCAACGAGGTCCAGAAACAAATGACTAGAGTTTTGTATCAATAATCTGATTCCATATCACTAGATCACACTTACGGAAACACACCTAAATATTGGGGTCACCTAGAGATCAGCCTCCCAAGTTTATTTAACCTAACCTAACTTAAGTATACGTAACCTTAACCTAACCTAACATAAGCATACATAACCTTAATCTAACCTAACTTAACCATACGTAACCTTATCCTAATTTGATCTAACCTTAGTCTAACCTAACGTAACCATACACAACATAACCATACCTAACATCAGTAATTACTTGAGCAATATACATATGTAGTTTCAAGAAAGTGTGTTGATAATGTCATGAAGATATGCAGATATATATAAAATGTCCCAGAAAAATGTCCCTCCCTCCCTCCCTGCCAGCTCCCTGCCTCCTTCCCTGCTCCCTGCCTTCTCCCCTGCTCCCTGCCTCCTTCCCCGCTCCCTCCCTAGCTGCCTGCTCCCTACCTCCCATCCTACCTGCTCCCTGAGACACTTTGAGTTGGAGGGAGGCAGGGAAGGACATTTGCTTGGACACCTTATATGTACAAATGTAAAATCACGATGCAGTATGAGACTTAAGATTAACTACAGAGGACTTTTTTTGGGGGGGGCACCCAACAGGGAAGCATGCTAAGTTCATGCTTGCCTTTATGTCTCATGAGTTAAGGGTTTCGTTTTTTCTAAGCACCAGTGACCTTGACCTCTGACCCTTGCAAAATCACATACGTTCCTATGCTAACGGTGAAGCCGGAGTAAATGTTATTGAGATCCCTTAAAGATTCTGTAGTGTGTATAGATGTGGTGACAAGTTTTGGTTTACACACACACACACACACACACACACACACACACCCCAACACCCCATTCTCAACCCAATACTCGTTCTTATGCTTCTACTACCACGGTTAACACTTACACTCCCTAAAAAAACACAGATTTTTTTTTAATATATCAGATTTAAACACATAATCCATCTGTTTATCTCCTCTGGTAATAAATTTTAGAAACCTCAACTATCAGAATCTCAAACCATCGTTCACTTTGTCATTATTTATAGATAACAGACAACTTATAAAAAATTATGGGTCCCCTTTCTGTTTATCTGAGACCTGGAAACCTTAGACTATGTTAACAGTAAACTTGAAGGTTTTGTCGCCCGTGTTGACCAGTGGGAGTACAGTATATGTTAGTTACTGTAGATAGGTTACTTATTCTGGCCCTAAATATTGCTAGTGTAAATGTTGAAGAGATTAAGTGATAATATGTCGCCTTGGGGAACATCGTTAATGCTCTTATTCACCCTTTGACCAGTTTTGAGGGAGTGTTACTGTTATCACCTATATCTGTATGTTTGTTTTAGGAGTTTTACCGATATTCGTGTAATAAAAATTAATATTACTGTTCGTTTTTTTTTTTTTGTGGGTTAAAGTGTTGTATTTTCTTTATATTCACTGGACTAGGTGGAGTATAAATGAAGATTTGCTCTGGATCCATAACCTATAACCCAGACAAGACTCCGCTAGTACACCGTGTAGTTTACGAGGGCCAGGCGTCACATAACATAAACAGGTTGAGACAGGAAAGGTAATATATCTCCTCCCCCACCCCCCTCCCCCTTCTCTCTGGTGGTCCGGATATTTGTGAACCAGTTTGGGTTTTACGACAAGCTGGTGGGGATATGGTTATGTTAGTAGTACTGTACTGCCTCACACCGGATATAAATCACACATTGACTCTACTCTAGATTCGAACCGGCGACCCAGTTACCTACCAGTCCGGTACGATAACCACTCCACAGTACCTTACTTAAAGACAATGAATCTTAATCACTTAGAATCTCCCTACTTTTACAAATACATCAGTCTTAATTCAATGCTACAGGAGAGGCTAAAACTACTTACTGCTTCTAACTGATTCAGAGTACACAAGACTTAACTAACTTGCATTAACATTAAACAAACGTGAACCTACATCTACCCAGTTAATGGTGTCAGGATAAATTGTAGAAGGATAAGTATGATAATAGCTTTGGATAATCTTTGGAAAGTAAGGAAAGTAACCGAGACAACATGAAGGTGAGGTAATTAAGACAACATGTAGGTGAGGTAACCGAGACAACATGAAGGTGAGGTAACTGAGACAACATGTAGGTGAGGTAACTGAGATACAACATGTAGGTGAGGTAACTGAGACAACATGTAGGTGAGGTAACTGAGACAACATGTAGGTGAGGTAACTGAGACAACATGTAGGTGAGGTAACTGAGATACAACATGTAGGTGAGGTAACTGAGATACAACATGTAGGTGAGGTAACTGAGACAACATGTAGGTGAGGTAACTGAGACAACATGTAGGTGAGGTAACTGAGACAACATGTAGGTGAGGTAACATGTAGGTGAGGGACAACATGTAGGTGAGGTAACTGAGACAACATGTAGGTGAGGTAACCGAGACTGTAGGTGAGGTAACCGAGATAACATGTAGGTGAGGTAACTGAGACAACGTGTAGGTGAGGTAACTGAGACAACATGTAGGTGAGGTAACTGAGACAACATGTAGGTGAGGTAACCGAGACAACATGTAGGTGAGGTAACCGAGACAACATGTAGGTGAGGTAACCGAGACAACATGTAGGTGAGGTAACTGAGACAACATGTAGGTGAGGTAACCGAGACAACATGTAGGTGAGGTAACCGAGACAACATGTCGGTGAGGTAACTGAGACAACATGTAGGTGAGGTAACCGAGACAACATGTAGGTGAGGTAACCGAGATGCAACATGTAGGTGAGGTAACCGAGACAACATGTCGGTGAGGTAACTGAGACAACATGTCGGTGAGGTAACTGAGATACAACATTGGGTAACAGGTGAGTGGTGGTGTTGGTAGTGTGGACATGCATAGGGAGACAGCCAGGCAGGTACTTACTCTTCACTTTTGACGGAGACATTGTCCTTCATCGACTGTGAGGAGGAACAGCTGCTGCCCATTGTTTACACTCCCGCCGGGAACCTCCTCTCTACCTCCAAGAACCTCCTCTTCTTCCTCCTCACTAACTTCTGTTTGTACTGGTATTCCTCTTGTTAATCGTATGTCTGTGTGTGTTTGTTTGGGCAGTGTTGGTTGGGCAGTTCACCACAGTGACTCTTTTTCTTGTCTGCGGTGGTGGTCTTCTTGTTGCTATGATGGGTGTGTTGCTGGGTGGTTCCTGCCTCTCGCACCTTTACTCGCAACAGTTACCTTCACTCGGAAGTCTCAAGAGCGCCGTTCCAGGTTACTCGAGGCAATAGCGTGATTTCATAAGAGACCACTTGTATGCCCCCTCGACGCAGCGGAACTTTGCGCTTAACCTTCCCCAGTGATCCCGGCAAAGGTCAGAGGATCCTCCGATTCCACAGTCGGACAGAAGAATTTGAGTCAGATCTCCCCTGCCGATTGACACGCTTAAGCTATAAGAAATGACCTTTTAGCGTTTCCTTGCATCTATCTTTTACCAATGGTTGGAAGACCTTCGTTCGATTTATTCTGTCATTTTTTTTTTCAAGTCACTTCACTTTCTGCTACACAAGTATATGGAAACTGATTTTTTCTAATCTTGTCAAATCAAACAGGAAGACTTGTAATACTGTTAAAGGTAATACTGTAGGTGTCCGATATAATGAGTGTGGTGGGCCAACTCTCTGTGTCCTGGCGAGTTTTTGTTTTTCACATTCCCAACAATACACGAATATAATTTTGGCACTTAGATGTTTGTAATACTGGCTTCAATACTGATATAATATTGTTAATACTGATGGCAGTTACATCCTTCACAGTCCCAAAACATGAGTGGCGGCAATCCTCGAGGCATCAGTTACTACCAAGGTGAGCACGGGTAGAAAAATGTCCTGGAGGAGTGAACACCGTTTGTCTGTCACGTACTTCAGCGCCAGGTAACCAGCCGGGCATCATTCACTAGTATTCAACTTGGGCATCAAAGGCTGAGTCAATCACAACTAAACTTAGTCTACTTGGCACGCGTCTCTTTGTAATTGGACAACTGTATAGTTTATCATGTACACTTGTCCCACTTTCCTCTCCGCTTATAGGTTGCTTTGATGTTAATATGTAAGTTGTGATCTTTTCCCCCGCTTAGTAAACGTGATTCGCCTCATTTCAGTCCAACAAGTCAGTAGCTGGTCATTTTCGGGTCAAAGGCTAGGTAATGTGGAGGAGCCCTCCACCCTGCTCCGAGCTGTGGTCGTTGAGTCAGTAACTGTGTTCCCCCCAAGAGTGACAGCCTGGTTGTGCCCACAGTTACAGACTGTTTACCTCCAGTGAGGTGTGTCTTCTGACAGGTATGGGCACGATGTAGTCTGGCGCTGCGCCTCGTGAGTGCGTCGTGGGTCCAGCCCTCCTGCGCGCTCACGTAGGTCTGCGCATTCAGTTGTACCAGCCGTTCCAGCGGTGCGGTTAGACGTTAAGGTTGCGCATTAAGCTGTGCGTTCTTTGTGGTCGGTGAAGGTTCTTAGCCAAGATCCTGTGAATATAGACATGTGGAGATGCCTACACTACCAACAGGCGAGCAGCGGTGTGTTCAGGTGGAGTGTGTGAGGGGCTGTGTCGCCGACTGGGGCCAGGGGAAGCGGGCTCACTTTAATTACTGTTACTAGGGCTGCCTCACCGTGTGCCCCGCCTCGCCTGATCACCTTCATGTAGTGGGGTGGTGGCCATGTTCAGGCTCCTAGGTGAAGTAGATGACAGGGCGCATGAGTGATCTGGAGGATGACCACGTAGTGCACTTGGGGGTGGCGATGAGAGTGTGTGTTGTTGGGGTGATGTCGAGAGGGAACTAAGCTGATGTGTGGTGCGACTGTGAGAGTTGGTGTCAGGGCGGTGTGTTGAGGCTGACACAGTGATACAGGGCGGGTGGTAGAGGGAATGACCCCAGTGACAGGATAATATTGCACAAGTTTACGGGAGTTATTAACCGATTGTGTATATATATATATTTATATGTGTGTGTGTGTGTGTGTGTGTTGGTCGCAGTGGGTAGAGGATTCTGTGGCGTTATTTGTAGAGCGTAGCGTGAAATTTGTGCGGTGAAGATCTAGTTATGAATCAGACCTGTTGAGACTTTCATTTAAGAGCATATGGTGGGATGACATGGATAGCTGGTGGGGTGACAACAGGGAGTATGTACTGAACAAGGTACCACGACTTAATTACACAAGCGGTTAAGGTAATGACGCGGACGATTGGAAGGTTATAATGTAGAGGCGATGTAGCGGGGTTGGTAGGGATAATGTTAGACGGTGGTGGGGGTCGGACACAGTGGGTGAGGTGGAGGGGGAGGGGTTCACCAGGTCAAGAGGCGGAGGTGTTAGGTGAAGGATGTTATGTAGTGGGGTGGAGGGAGTAGTAGTGACCGTCCCGGGGTAATCAAGGTTTACTCTGATATGGCAGTTGTGTTTCTAAACGATGACTAAAGATGTTTCTAAGATGACGTGTTTCTCATGCGGGAGGAAGTGAAGTGGTGGTGGTGGTGGTAAGTGTTTCTGAATGGGAATGACAGTCTCAGTAAGTGTGGAATGTTGCTTGAGAAATATTATAGAGATCAATTAAGAGACGACGATTAGACGGGAGATTTACTCAAGGATAACAGGACAGATGGTAGTGCGATTGGCAGTAATGATGCTACACTGGTTTCGAAGGTTAGGTTAATGTAACGGTGTTGATAGCGAGTAAGACGATAGTGAGGTTCTTGACAAGACCTATAGGGAGGGGAGGGCGGTGTGTCTGCGGGTTGAGTGTCAGAACCTCGGGGGTCAAGTAGGTGCTGTTGCTTGCTTCAGGTCGTCCAGGGGCTGATGGTTGAGGATAGAAGTATGTAGTTAGTAGGTTGTGCTATGGTAGACGGTGGTGGTAGGGTGATAGTGGAGGTACGGTGGTGGTGGAGATGTACTCAGGAGACACTTGAAGAGCCGATGAGGTGACAGAGGGTTCTGGTGATGTGATAGAGGGGGCTTAGTGACGTAGTATAGGGGTCAAAAGACGTAATAGAGAAGGTCTGATGATGTAATAGAGAGGATCTGATGACGTTAGAAAGGCCTAGTGACGTGGTAAAAGGGGTCTCATGTGATAAGAAGGGCCCGGGGACGTGATAAAGGGGCCTGATGACGCTAGAGGGGGTGTAGCGACGCGGTACCCAGTAATGATGAGTTAGCTAATGACGCGGCGGATGGTGGATGTCGGGAATCAGGGTAGTAAGGCTAGGTGTTGTGAGTCGTGGGTACTGCTGGGGTGGGGGGGGGGGTTGCTTGGTGGAGAGGAGAGTTAGTGTGGTGGGTGGGGTCGTGCTGGTGGTATTAGTGATGGAGATGTTTGGTGGTGAGAAGAGGGAGTGTAGTGGGATCTAGTGGTGGTGAAGAGAGGGAGTGTGGTCGGTCTAGTGGTGGTGAAGGGAGGGTGTGTGGTGGTGAAGAGAGTGAGTGTGGCGGGTCTAGTGGTGGTGAAGGGAGGGTGTGTGATGGGTCTAGTGGTGGTGAAGAGAGGGAGTGTGGTGGGTCTAGTGGTGGTGATGAGAGGGAGTGTGGTGGGTCTAGTGGTGGTGATGAGAGGGAGTGTGGTGGTGGTACTGCTACTGGGGTGGGTGCTGGGGGGTTGTCTGGTGGTGTGGAGAGAGGGAATGGGAAGGAACGCTCAGAAGTTGTAAAAAATAGAACAGGTGGAGGGTTGAATTAGGTAGACCAGCGTTATGTCTTGGCTTAGCGAGATGGATGGTAGGTGAGGCTGTAAGGTTATAAGGTACGGTAGCTTGGCTTTGATGTGGTGTTAGTGGTGGTGTGGTAGACCGGGTTACAGGCTACTTAACTGTAAAGTGGACCAGCCTGTAGCGACGTGATGGTGTATAAGGGCTGGCGTGATAGGTGGGCGAGGAAGGGTTGGGAGGGTTAAGCTGGTTTAATAGTATGGTAGACTGATGTAGTTGTGTGGTAGGCCGGTGTGGTGGTGGTGTGGATGGTGTCTGGTAGGCTCATAGGTGAGTGTTTCCGCCCTCTTCCTTGCCCGATGTCAGCTGATCCACATCTGCGAAAAGGAAAACAAGACAAATGAACATCAACCCCAAAACACTACAGTAAATACATTGCTAAGACATAAACCCGATATATTTCCATCATTACATAGTATCTTAAAATAAATATTTGCCTACAGGAGCGGAACGTTACCTAGCAACACACACCTTTACCGTCAAATGGCGGTGTGAATTAGGAATCAATGGAATGTGTTAAAAATATTCCAGAATAGACAGTCTATGAAGTGGTGAAAATCGGGTTTATTTGTTTGTTTACCTAAAATTATGTAATAGAACTTTGACTTTAATTTTAGCGCTAGTAGTAATAACACTAATAATAATAATAGTGCTAGTAGTAATAACGCTAATAATAATAATACAGGAATAATAACAATAATAAAAGATATAAAATCGTAAGAAAAAGATATATACAATACATCATTGCATCTCAGCCACAACTTTAAAACCCACAAACACACGAGAAGTTCTAAAGAAAACAAACAGTACGAACCTTACCACAGGGGAGGATGGGGTGAAGGTACTTGACACAGCCACTTTGGAATAATCAGGTAACATAATCACACAATCGAGGTACAATCACACAGTCAAGCTACAGTCACGGCGAGGCATAGTGACAGGGTTCATAGATTTCAGATGGTAAGAGGTTTTGAATATTTTTTTGTGAGGGGGGTGAGTGTTGTTTGTGTTGCAGATATGTTCTAAGTGTATATATGTGTGTGTGTATGTGTTGTAAGTGTGTGTGTGTATGTGTTGTAAGTGTGTGTGTGTATGTGTTGTAAGTGTGTGTGTGTTTTGTAGGTACTGTAAATGTGTGAGTGTCTTGTAGGTGTGCGTAGGTGGGTGGGATGGGGCGTGGTGGAAGGTCTGGGTGCCCACTACAGTCTGTACTGGTCCCTCTCTCTTTCCCCACTCTGCATCACGCTACCTAGCACTCCTTCACACACACACACACACACACACACACACACTCTAAATCCTCACCTAGCTTCTCATATTTCTCCGCGACAAGCTATAAACGCCTCCTTCGTGTCTCGGTGTCATTCATGGCTTGTATAAATATCAGTCGTGGTTTTAAGGGATGGATCCATAAGAACCAATATTAACTTTATGGGGGAAAACCTGGACATTTGCATAAGTCGATATGAGTCAGCTGTGCGCAGTTCTTACTCTGCTTGCTCACCCAAAACTCAGATATTACGACCTTAAGACAAGAATACACTACACTCAGCGCCCCGCCCCCCTCTTGCCAGGCCCCTCCGTCACGGCCAATCCCCACCGTGCTTTCATGACGTCATACGGCAGCATCCAATCAGGTGCCGCCGATTCGCCAATAAAATCCAAGTTTTGCAGTGACGTCATATTGGTGCAGCCAGTCATTTACCACGGCCTCGTACTTGCGTCAGGACTTTGGGTGTGACGTAGGTGCGGCTGGTTGACTGGCCAGGCACGAGTAATTGTAGCTCGTTAACTACAGATGAAAGGATGCCACTACTGTCTGCCTCCACGGGGACGTCTTCACCCCAGTACTTCCTTCCACCTACTGAATTATTCCCCAGACTCACTCACTCTCTTACCAGAAAGGAGAGCAACAGAGGGAGGTTTAGTGTCACAAAGAGGGTGGGAAGGGTACCAGCTGACGTATGGTATTACAGGGGGGTTACCAGCTGACAGATGGTGTTACTGGGGGGTTACCAGCTGACAGATGGTGTTGCAGGAAAATGTGTCACTTGACGTATACTTTAAAAACTGATCTTATATTTGATTTACACCAACGTCAGAAGACTAGAAATGGTACTTTAAGTAAAAATAGCATAACCATACACGAAAAATATCTACATACATCAGACTCACACTAGAGGATTCAAGAGAGGGATGACTTGAAGATTAGACACCCCAGCTTATTTCAACGTAAGATTAACCACCCTAACACTGCCTGGAGGGTAGTTTAGGTTAGGATGGTTAATCTAAAGGTGAAATAAGCTGGGGTGTCTAATCTTCAGGGGATCACAAGAGACTAAAAAAAATTGCTTTAGAAAGAAAAACTAAAAACGTTATATTTTCAGAATCAACGATGACGTGGAGGTAGGCGAGCAGAGTGAGGCATCTCCAGGATCTACACGTCGGGTTCGCCCAGCTAAATTAAGCGCCCCCTCCCCCCCCCCAGTGCTCGCCTTATTCCTTCTGCCTGCCTGGGATGACGCAAACACACGCTATGTTCGCCCCACTGAAGTCAGGGTAAGAGTGTGATAATATGGGTAGTGTGTGTGTGTGTGTGTGTGTGTGTGTGTGGGTGTGTGTGTGTGTGTGTCAAGGAATAACTTCATGGTAAATATAAGAGACACCAATTATTGCACTATTATTAGTCACAGTTCCTCCCCTCCCTCCCCAGCAACTCCATCTACGAGGATACACCCTCTGGCCACACCCTGCTCCCTCAAGCTACACCCAGACTAAACTGCACTCACACACACACACACACACACACACACACCCACACCCACACACACCTGCTGAAAATTAGTTTCCCTGGAATCGTAATGACAAGAAATTTGAAAGTTTAGTGTTTGAAGTGATCGTGAACCTGTTGGTGACGTCAGGTTTTTATTTTATTCACACTATAACTAAGCAATGGTATTTATTTTTTTAATACAGCATCTTGTTATAGACCTTGGGGTTATATTCAATAGAGAAAAAGTGGTAGTATTTTTCATCGTCAACTTCATATAACTATTCACAAAATACAATTTCTAGATACACATTTTATTATTAATATTTCTGTATAGAGTTTAGTCAGTCCAGTGCTTCCCTTTCTTGCTCTGGCTTAAAGGTATTTCAAGCGTGACATAAGCTTCCATGTGTGGCTTAACGTATCCAAATAACTATAGTCTTTGGTCATCCTCGTAACACATATTTATTAATATTCTTTACCATTACATAAAAGTACATGATACGGTTAATAACACAACTCATATTTTCAGTGTTATGTGATTAGGATATATTATTAAATACTGTACTGTATCCTGATCCCATGATAATTAGGCATCCCAGCTTAATTTCACATGATGATTAAACACCCTTATGCTACCTGGGGGGAGGGGGTATGTTAGGTTATCATTAGGGTGGTTAATCATCAGATGAAATAAGCCGGGGTACATAAGCTTCATGTAACCAAAGTGACCTTGGATTGGTTTGGTCTGATTTGTTAGATCAGGTCAGGTTAGTTGTAACGATAGACTAGGCTAATTAGGGTTCTATTTGACTAGGTTAGGCTAAGAGGCTAGTTTAAAATAGAAATACGTTTGATATATTAAATCATCGAAAGGCTAGGTTGTGAGGGCAAGGCAGGTGTGTGTTTGTGTGTGTGTGTGTGTGTGTTTTGATTTGATATTTTGGTGGTGTGAGGTGGTGGTGGTGACTCAGCCAGGTATTGACCAGTAGTGTGGCAGTGGACGGTGGTGGTGGTGGTGGTGGTGATGGTACTAGTAGTCGTGGTGGTAGTGATTGTGGTGATGGTGCCAGTCCACATCCCATGTACACACATCACCCATATACACACATCACCCATATACACACACCACCCCTGTACACACACACCACCCCTTTACACACACACCACCCCTGTGCACACAACACCCCTACACATACACAGCACTCCTACACACACACACCACCCGGTCATACAGTAAAGTACACTCCACCCTATTAGTAATTCATGAGTCATATTCTCCCTTTGATGTTTATGTCCAATCAAATAACAGTGTTAAGAGTATTAGAGGCAACTCACACCAGCAGCTGTCAGTGTCGCTGTTACCGGTCACACACTCAACACAATTATACGTTTTACTCACAACATTAATAACATTATTTGCTTGGTAATGAAAGAGTAATACAGTGTTTGATATGAATGAAAGGCCATTTAAGTTATATTGTTGAGCATATAATGTACATAGATTATGCAGGTATGCAAACAGAATTAAAAAAGTAACATAATTTAACAAAAAAGCCCAAGAAAGACCTGTTATATAAATGATCGTTTACCCGAGACTTACGGTATTAAAGCGAGTACAAACCTACCACGTAAACTATAAGAGTTGTCTATGAGATTTATGGTGTGAAAGGGGGATTGGTTGCGCCAGATTAAGTGGGTTAAGAATACAATATTTGAAAATTTTTGATGACTTTATCCTTATTACAGTGAGAACTTTATGTAGTACAGTATATGGAAGTCTTTCGAACTTGTATACATTTCACTGGACTTAATTCTGGGGTATTAAAATATTGGTTCCTGGGATTTATTTTCATATGAGCTTTTAGTATTTCATATAGTTTACAAAATATAGTTATGTAGTTAGATTAAAGCATATAACATGACGGAAGGTTTTGGCAAGGAGGACAACTGTGTAGCGAGT